AACATACCTCCATAAAATTAAGAAGATAGAGATTGTATCAACAATCTTCTCAGACCACAGTGCACTGAAATTAGAAGTAAATCACACAAACAAACAGAAAACTAAATCAAACACCTGGAAATTAAACAGTTCACTACTGGACGAGTGGCTTAGAAAGGAAATCAGGGGCTGGAGCAATAGCACAGCAGGTAGGGCATTTGCCTTGCATGCAGCCAACCCGAGTTCGATTCCCGGTATCCCATATGCTTCCCTGAGCACCGCCAGCGGTAACTCCTGAGTGCAGAACCAGGAGAAACCCCTGTGCATCGCCAGATGTGACCCAAAAAGCAAAAAAAAAAAAAAAAGGAAATCAAAGATTCCTGGAAATGAACAAAAATGAGGACACGAACGAAAATGAGGACACGAGTTACCAAAACTTATCACTGTATCACTATCACTGTCATCCTGTTGTTCATCGATTTCCTCAAGCAGGCACCAGTAACGTCTCCTTCGTCCTAGTCCTGAGATATTTTTTTTTTCTAGCCCTGAGATTTTAGAGGCTCTTTCAGGGTCAGGAGAATGAGACCCATCATTGTTACTGGTTTTTGGCATATTGAATAGGCCATGGGGAGTTTGCCAGATTCTGCCAGGCAGCAGGATACTTTCAGTAGCCTGCCAGGTTCTCCAGAGAAATAACTAGAAAATAAGCTCCCAGGAGCTGGGTTTCATAGTCTCTGGGTCTTGGCAGTTGATGGGATTACACGGAGTGGGGGGTAGTTGGTGGGTGTAATGGCTACATACTGGAGGATGGGAATCTGGGTGGAGGAGGCCCAGTCCCAATCCGAGCAGGCTTGGAGATCTAAGCCCCGTGCCCCACACACCTGCCGATTCCTTCATGCGTAAGGCTCGTCCAAATGTGTGGAGAGTGGTCTTAAGCATGGCTGTGGCTAGAATCGGAGGTCTTCAGCTGCTGGGGCTCTGCTCGGAGTGGGGAGGGAAACTCAACCCACCCTCCTCCAAGGGTGAGGACAGCCGATGCGCAGAGGCAGGAGACTCTGTGCTGTTCTCTTCCGGGAGCTGGGTTTTATAGTCTCTGGGTCTTGGCCATTGATGGGTTACACGGCGCCTGGGGCAGTTGGTGGGTTTAACATCTACATACTGGAAAATGGGGGATCTGGGTGGAGGAGACCCAGTCCCCTTCTGAGCAGGCTTGGAGATCTAAGCCCGGGGTCCTGCACGCCTGGGTTCCTCTACCGATTCCTTCATGGTGAGGCTATCCTCACCAGGGTCCCTTGGAGGAGGGCGGGTTGAGTTTCCCTCCCCGCCTGAGAAGAGCCCAGGCAGCTTAAGACCTCTGGTTCCAGCCACAGCCATGCTTGGGACCACTCTCCACACGTTCGGACGAGCCTCACCAAAACTTATGGGACACAGCAAAAGCTGTGTTAAGAGGAATGTTTATAGCTCTACAAGCATTCCTCAGGAAGGAAGAGCCAAGTCCACATAAGTAACCTAACCTCACAGCTTAAGAGGTCGGAGAATGACCAACAAAAGGAGTCCAAGCCGAACAGGAGGAAGGAAATAATAAAACTCAGAACAGAAATTAACGAGATGGAAACCCAAAAAACAATATGAAAGATCAATGAAACCAAGAGCTGGTTCTTTAAGAAAATAAACAAGATCGATAAGCCTCTAGCAAAACTCACAAAGAAAGGGAGAGAGAAAAACCTAATAAACCGAATCAGAAATGAAAAGGGGGTCATTACAACAGAAACTACAGACATTCAAAGGATCCTAATGAAGTACTTTGAGAAGCTTTATGACACGCAACACAAAAACCTCAAGGAAATGGATAAATTCCTAGATTCCTATAGCCTCCCAAGGCTGAACCAAAGAAGACCTGGTATACCTGAACAGACCTATCACCATCAAGGAAATTGAAACAGTAATAAAAAGTCTCCCCAAGTAACAAAATAGGAGACTAACACCCAAGAATGGCCGAGATTAGTACCAGGAATTTTACTCCATGGCTTGGAGACCAGCCACACATGCTAGGGGAAAATGAAGCTCAGATAGAGAAGGGAGCACCAAATAAAGGGTGTTGGGAGGATCCTCCCAGGATGGGAGAAGCATGCTGAAAGTAGACTATAGACCAAACATGATTGTCACCCGTTGCCTCTTTTGCAAACCACAACACCCAATAAGAGAGAGAGAACAAAAGGGAATGCCCTGCTTGGATAGAGAAGGGAGCACCAAATAAAGGGTGCTGGGAAGATCTACCCTGGATGGGAGATGCCTGCTGAAAGTAGTCTATGGACCGAACATGAATGCCACCCAATGTCTCGTCTGCAGACCACAGCACCCAAAACCAGAGATAGAACAAAAGGGAGTGCCCTGCCACAGAGGCAGGGTGGGATGGGGGATAGGGCGGTTGGAGGGATACTGGTAATGTTGGGGGTGGAGAATGGGCACTGGTGGTGGGATGGGTACTCGATCATTGTATAACTGAAATCCAAGCACAACAACTTGTAAGCCTACAACTGTACCTCATGATGTTTCACTAATAAAAAAATTTTTTAAAAATTCTCAATAAAATTTATATGTATTCACAAAAAAAAAAAAAAAAGGAGGGGCAATGCCCTGCCACAGAGGCAGGGTGAGATGGGAGGGATGGGGGGTGGGAGGGATACTGGGATCCGTGGTGGTGGGAAATGGGCACTGGTGGCGGGATGGGTATTTGATCATTGTATAACTGTAACCCAAGCACGAAAATTTGTAAGTCTACAACTGTACCTCATGATGTCTCACTAATAAAAATGAAAAAAAAAAATCTCCCCAAGCACAAAACTTCTGGCCCAGATGGATTCACTAGTGAATTCTTCCAAATCTTTAAAGAGGACTTACTGCCAATACTCTTTAAGCTTTTCCATGAAATTGAAATATCAAAAATAATTCCGAACAGTTTCTATGAAGCAAATATCACCCTGATACCAAAAGCAGACAGAGATACCACAAAGAAAGAAAATTACAGGCCAATATCCCTGATGAGAGCAGACGCAAAGATCCTCAACAAAGTATTAGCAAATATAATCCAGCAACTCATCCAAAAGATCATACACCATGACCAAGTGGGATTGATTCCGGGGATGCAAGGATGGTTTACGGAAATCAATCAACATAATCCATCATATCAACAAAAGATAAAAACCATATGATCATATCAATAGATGCAGAGAAAGCATTTGACAAGATCCAGCACCCGTTTATGATAAAAACCCTTGCCAAAATGGTTAAGAGGGGACTTTCTTCAATATAGTTAAAGCCATCTACCAAAAGCCTACAGCAAGCATCATCCTCAATGAGGAAAAACTAAGAGCCTTCCCTCTAAGATCAGGGACAAGACAAGGATAACCACTCTCTCCACTACTGTTCTATATAGTACTGGAAGTACTTGCAATAGTGGTTAGGCAAGAAAAAGATATTAAGGGGCATTCAGGTAAGAAAGAAAGAAATCAAGCTCTCACTGTTCGCAGATGATATGATACAATACTTAGAGAACCCTAAAACCTCTACCAAGAAACTCCTAGAAACAATAGACTTGTACAGTAAAGTTGTAGGCTATAAAATCAATACCCAAAAGTCCATGGCCTTCCTGTATGCAAATAGTGAGAGAAAAGAAAGTGACATGAAAAAAACAATCCCATTCACAAGTGTGCCCCACAAAATCAAGTACCTAGGAATCAGCTTAACTAAGGAAGTAAAGGAACTGTACAAAGAAAAATACAAAATGCTACTTCAGGAAATAAAAGAGGACACGAGAAAATGGAAAGATATTCCCTGCTCATAGATCGGGAGAATTAACATTATCAAAATGGCAATACTTCCCAAAGCATTGTACAAATTCAATGCAATCCCCATAACTATACCCATGACATTCTTCAAAGAAATGAAGCAAACACTCCTGAAATTCATATGGAACAATAAGACCCCACGAATAGCTAAAGAAATTCTTGGGAAAAAGTAAATGAAAGGAATCAACCTCCCTAACTTCAAACTCTACTACAAAGCAGTAATAATTAAAACAGCATGGTACTGGAACAAAGGCAGAGCTGCAGACCAATGGAACAGGGTTGAATATACTGACACCTCTCCCCAAACATATGATCATCTAATATTTGACAAGAGAGCAAGTAATGTAAAGTGGAGCAAGGAAAGTTTCTTTAACAAATTGTGCTGGCAAAACTGGACAGCTACATGCAAAAAAATGGGCTCAGATCTCTGCCTAACACCATGTAGAAAAGTAAGATCAAAATGGATTAAAGACCTCAACATAAGACCAGAATCCATAAGGTACATTGGAGACAAAGTTGGCAAAACCCTCCATGACATTGAAGCTAATCATATCTTTAAACACGCAGTGCAAAATTGTTTTGGTTCTGCTTTGTGAGGCATGGTTTGGGATTTAGGGTTGGTGGAAATATTTGAAATGTGGAAGATAGGTGCAATGGTGGTACGATTGGTGTTTGAATATTAAATTTAATGAATTATTGTGAACAACCTTATAAAAACAGAATTTTTTTAAAAAAAGCAATTACAGGGGATGGAGATAGGGTGCTTGCCTTGCACACGGCCGACCCGGGTTCGATCCCCGGCATCCCGTATGGTCCCCCAAGCACCGCCAGGAGTAATTCCTAAGCGCAGAGCCAGGCATAACCCTGAGCATCGCTGGGTGTGACCCAAAAAGCCAAAACAAAAAAAAAAAATGACCCTGCTTCTAACGTTAAGTCCCAAAAAACTTCATGAATTATTCTGCAGGTAGATCTTTTTTAACATATCTGGTGGGCTCCCTCAAGCAAAGCAAGCTCTCCAGCCCTCTGAGCTATCTTCCTGGCCCCAATTTAAGGTTCATAAGGCTCATGGACAGTCTAAAACGTCAATTATTTGAATCATCTCAATGTTTTAACTCAATTTTAACCCATGTTAATTTTTTTACAGCATTCATTCTTTTTTCAAAATATTATAACCTTTCCATCAGGATGACTGACTTCTTGAATTTCTTCATTTTCTTCTTTTGCATCATCCTCTTTATATTTGCAGTCTGTGAAGTTCACTATCTCAGGTGGCTCCTTCGGTGAGGATATCTGGAAAGTCAAGAGAATTTTGTATGTATTAAAAGACAGCATTCTTGTTAGAAAAGATGAAGTCATGAAATTTACATACTAGTGGTACTACACAGAAAGTATCATGGTAAGCAAAATGACTCAGAAAGAAAGGGATAGACATAGAAAGATTACATTCATCTGGGGAACATAAAGTAACAAAATAGGAGACTAACACCCAAGAATGGCCAAGATTAGTACCAGGAATTTTGCTCCATGGTTTGGAGGCCAACCACACATGCTGGGGGAAAGGGGAGCTCAGATAGAGAAGGGAGCACCAAATATAGGGTGTTGGGAGGATCCTCCCAGGATGGGAGAAGCATGCTGAAAGTAGACTATAGACCAAACATGATTGTCACCCATTGCCTCTTTTGCAAACCACAACACCCAATAAGAGAGAGAGAGAACAAAAGGGAATGCCCTGCCACAGAGGCAGGGTGGGATGGGGGAGGTGGGGGGGGTGGGAGGGATACTGGGATCCATGGTGGTGGGAAATGGGCACCGGTGGAGGGATGGGTATTTGATCACTGTATAATTGAAACCCAAGCACAAAAATTTGTAAGTCTACAACTGTACCTCATGTTGTCTCTCTAATAAAAAATAAATAAATAAAAAATAGATAAAAGACAGCATTCTAAGGAGCTAAGTCTTCCATTTATTTACAAGAGTAATTGACATGTATGATGGGTCTATGTTATATAGAATGACGCTTACAATATTAACTTATCAATGGGCTAGCTACTAAAATCAGCTAATCAATTTCAAGCCTAATAATCTGTGTTTGAATATATAAAAATACAAAGAGACTTACTTGTCCCTTATTCGAACTGCCTACATCACTTGAAGGCACAGATTTGGATCTTCGAGATGGATTGCCTGTTAGAACAGAATTATCAGAATTAGTTTTACTATTAACTTAAAATTTTTTAATATTATTATAGTCCAACATTTCGTTAATTCATTCCCTTCATGAGCTCTTGTCCATTAAGCATTAGTTAAGAAGGTCAAAATTATTCTTTACTAACTCATAGGAGTTCTTAGCTATGTAAGTTCAAATATGCATTCAAGTACTTAGGTCCTAAGCAACAAAGATGGAAAAATACCTGACCTCTTTTCTGAGAGTTAAATATCTGGATGAAGAGGTAACATAAAAAATGGAGCTGCAAGTATTTTAGGTAGAAGACCAGGACTTGGGAGGTACATATTAAAACAGAAACAGTTACTAGATATTAGGGAACCAAAAAAAGGAAACATTTAAGAAATTCTGCATAGTTTTCTTAATGAAATAACTGAGTAATTAAAACCTAAAAACTGTGGTCTAAATATTTTGGATCATAAGACCTACAACTGAACTGGAGGAGAAGAGATGGTGTTGGCACAGCAGCAGCTCTCAGCACACTAAACAGGGGGTCAAGGAGGTCATAAAATTTCTGCGTGAACAACTGTGCTTTAAATATTTTTTTCTCAAAAAGAGTGGCTTTAAGGGGTTATGGTGCCGCTGGCATGTCAACCTGTACCTGTGGGGCGAGTGCATCAGCAGCCTGATGGTGCCTTCAGACTTACAGATATCCCAAAATTGCTGCTGTGCCTTTGTCCAAACCCCAACAACTCAGGACCAAGTTTATCAAGAAATTAAATGGCCAAAAATTAGGTATGTGGGAGCCACACTCAAAAACCACCTCCAGCTCGGCTATATAAACTCATTTATTGGCTTTATTTCAAAGACCCATAAATCTCTAAAGAAATCAAAAGACACAGGCCTATAGCGCAGAGGTAGGTGGGAGCCCATGACTGAGATCTCCGACCTGCTTGGATCAGGACTGGACCTCCTCTCCCCAGGTCCCCAGTTTTCCAGGAGCTTGGCAGTCACACCCACAAACTGCCCCTAGCGCCATGTAATCTCATCAACGGCCAAGATCCAGAGACTATAAACTAAAGCTCCTGGAAGAGAATAACACAGAATTTCCTGGACATTATACTCTACCCATAACGAGCAATACAAAATAAATCATCTAGCATTGCCTTTTCAGCAAGTTTGAGTGGTGGTGAGACTGGTGCCAAATATCGAATGTAACCAAAGTAGAGAGAGAGTATGGGGGAAATTGTCTGCCACACAGGCAAGGGAAGGGTTGGAACCCGGAAAGGTGGGGGTGGGAGGGAATACTGGGAATTTTGGTAGTGGAAAATGTGCACTGATGAAGGGACGGTGTTTGATAATTGTATGACTGAAGTTCAAACATGAAAGCTTTGTAACTATCTCACGGTGAATCAAAAAAAAAAAAAAAACAAAGGAGTGGGGGGAAATAATAATAAAATAGCACTGTAGCATTGCATTGTCCTTCCGGTGTTCATCGATTTGCTCAAGCGGGCACCAGTAACGTCTCCATTGTGAGACTTGTTTACTGTTTTGGGCATATTGAATATGCCACAGGGAATTGCCAGGTTCTGCCGTGCAGGCAGGATACTCTCAGTAGCTTGCCAGGTTCTACGAGAGGGACGGAGGAATTGAACACAGGTCAGCTGCATGCAAGCCAAACACCTTACCCACTGTGCTATTGCTCCAGCCCAATAATAAAATAATAAAATTAAATTAACATTTTGAATAAAAAAAGAAAAAGTAATGTGGAGTTCATGCCCAATTAAATCAGCTTAATCGATGGCTGAATAAATAGCAGTAAACCTATATTATAAAAGAAAAAAGAGTGGCTTTAAGTGGAACCAAGTAGGCTCCAGTGGCCAAGCAATGGCCAGAGTGGAATGCATGTGCATGGTGCAGGTTCCAAAACTGGTGGAGCTATTGGAGCTACAGCTCTCAGTGCTATGGATAGCCAGCCACCGCGGCAGCAGATTAGTGTGAGTGAGTGGGGCTTTTTGGGTCCAACATGGCACTGCCACGGGTCCAAGATTTGAGGGTGTGCCCAGGTTTCCACCAGCAGGGTGTCCCAGACACTACTGCTTTCTCACCACCAATGCCACCTGCAGCATATTGTGGAGGAGGGCCTCCCTGAATGCCAAATGTCTAGAGATCAAGAAAAGAGGTGTGTGCCCACTGAGCCAGTTCTGCCAGACTGGTGGCCACAGCCCACCCAGAGTGCTCAGGCACTGCAAACGGCAGCACCCCTGCTGCCCTGGTTTCGGTCCTGGTCTCTGCCAGGGTCATGGCTACTTCTGCCGCCACTAGGAACCACTGGCAGGTCAACCTGGACACAAGAGTGAGGGCATCTCAAAATCACCGCTTTGCCTCTTGCTAGACTCCAACAACTTAGGACCAAGTTTTCTGAGAAATTAAATATCCAAAAGTCAGGGATATGGGAGCCACACCCATAAACCACCCCCAGCTCAGCTATACAAGTTTATTTCATCAGCCTTGCTCCAGAGACCCATAATTAAATCTCGAAAAAGATGAAAAAAAACCACGTTAATCTTGAACCCATGCAAGGCTAAACAGACCAGGGTAGATCAGAGGGGGGCGGGTTAGCTGAATAGACTAGGGTAGATGAGAGGGGGCAGGTTAGCCTGGTGCCTACCCAAGCAGAGTACCCAGCAGCCACTTGCTCCCACAATTCGATATCACTGCCATGTCCCTGGCCAGACTCCATCTCAGGATAGACCACACCAAGTTAATCTGCTAAAAATTCGGGTATGCAGGATGTTTGTGACTGAAATCTCCAGGCTTTCCCAGGGGCTGGAATGGGCTATCTCCCCGACTTCTCAATACTCCTGGAAGCAACAACAGTCACCCTCATGAACCAGCTCTGGCACCATAATGTAAACTCATCTACTGGTCTCACTTCAGAGACCCATAAATAAATCTTGAAAGAGATCAAAAGCCACAATTAATCTCAAACCCACACAAGTCTGAATGCAAGTCTGAATGTCTAGGCCAGGGTAAATCACAAGGGGACAGGTTTGACTGGTGCCTACCCAAGCAGAACTTCAAGGCAGATGCATGCTCCCACAACCTGAAATAGCCATCATGCCCCTGGTCAAATACCACGGTCTTGGGACAGACCTCACCGAGATATTAATCTGCTGAAAATTCAGGTATACTGGCTTTGTGACTGAAATCTCCAGGCTCTCATAGAGTTAGGGATTTCACTGTTCTTCCAGAAGCCTCAGCAGTTACCCCATGAATTGCCTCTGTAGCTAAATAGGCTCATTAATGGGCCATGTTCCAGAGACTCATAAATAAATCTCACTAGAGATCAATAAGTTGCAGAGATGCTTCTGGACCCCATGCCAGGTTGAGTCTTCCAGGACACCCAAAGTCACCATCCAGTTAAAAATTTAACGCTAGCTGTATCACCCGTTAAAAATTTTGGTACTGGGCTAGAGTGATAGCACTGCAGGTAGGGCATTTGCCTTGCACACAGCTGACCCGGGTTCGATTCCCAGCATCCCATATGTTCCCCTGAGCACCGCCAGGAGTAATTCCTGAGAGCAAAGCCAAGAGTAACCCCTGTGCATTGCCAGGTGTGACCCAAAAAAGCAAAAAAAAAAAAAAAATTTGGTCCTCCTGGAGTGCACGGCCACAAACTCTACATCACTGATAAACAAGGAGTAGCATACCACACTGGATGGGATGTAAAGCAGAAGGCAACCAATCTGATTAACAAAATACAAATACACAAGGCTTAACCTAACAATATGAAAAATGTTAATAATCTCCTATACAAGGGCTTCATGGCTCCATGGTGAGGTACAATTTTCACACACTTTCTTCTAGGAAACATTTTTTGATCATTTTTGGTGAATTTATAACACGCAATATAAAATAAACTATTCGGGGCCCGCTAAGGAGCAGACTTCAGGGGAAGGAACTAAGGTCAGTCACCAGCAAGGCAAGAGCCTTAACTTGTGTATTAATCCTCCAGCCCCTTCAATGTTTCATTTCTTAAGCTGGATGTGAATTCTATTTATATTTTTTAAATATTTTATAAAAATTACAAAAAATACACTACTTCTTACCTTGTGTTGGCAAATACTTTTTCTTGAATTTTTCTGCCTGGTTTTCTGAAGAACTATGGTTGTTTTGAAATCGAACTGATGAATTCTATATTGAAATAATTTTAAATATAAAATTACTGCTTGTCTCCATATTAGTGCAATAAATGAAACTAACAGAACTCTGCTTACAAAGACTATATCTAAGTTTGTTCTTTTACACACAGACTCCTTTTGGGCATATATTCATTTCAAATGAGAACATAACAGACAACAGAAGATAAAGGAGCTGGTGAACAACAGCAAGTCCCTCAGCTCACCCCAGCACTTTTCTCTCAGTCTGGCTCTAAACATCGAGTCCAACCCCAACAGCTCACCACTGTCCTTCTTAGAGTGAGGACAAGTATCTCCCTTACTCCCTCCCCACACCACTTCCAACCAAATCACTCTGTCCTCCCCACATACCCCAAAACCAGCTGAGTCTCACCTCTGTACGCCACCCCTGGCAAACCCTTCCGTGCCAGGGATGATATTACAATGCCTCAGTTTCTGCTTCCTGCCCTGCCTCCTCTCCTCTCTCCAATTTTATCCCATTGTTCTTCAGTAATGCCTTCTAGTAGGCAAAGTCTACAACTTACCACTGTCATAATCTATAAAACTCACAAACTTCAAAGCATTTAAATCCAGGATATAGGACATTCTACAAAATTAACCAGTTTCTTTAAAAAGTTGATAAACAAATTTATTGCATTGGATTTTGGGCCACACCTGACAGTGTTCGGGGCTTAATCCTGGCTCTGCACTCAGGGATCACTCCTGTTGGGGTTTGGGGGAACATTTATGGTATCAGGGATTACATTTGGATCAGCTGCATGCAAGGCAAGCACCCTAACCACTGTAGTATATCTCCAGCCTCCAAAATAATTTTTTAAAAATCAACACTGGGGATGAAGCTTTTTCTTCTTTGTTTTTTTTCCTCTGTCCAAGCCATGTATCACAAATCATATATTTTATGTATCTGATTTATAAAATCCTCCAACACTAGAATATAAATTCCAAGAGGACAGTGAAGTTTGTCTGTTTTATTGTAACTAAAGTGGTGTCTGGCCCATCAGAGTGCAGGTGAATGAAAGACAGAATAAAAGATTTATTCGAAAGGGTAACAGCTGGACAGGCAACAGCTTCACTTGGTCAATTTTTGTTGGAATTATTAGCTCACTGCTGGCTAATTTTACTTCATAATAATTACAAACAGCGGTAGGGCATTTGCCTTGCACACAGCTGGCCTGGCCGACCCAAGTTTGATTCCTCCGTCCCTCTCGGAGAGCCCGGCAAGCTACCGAGAGTACCTCACCCACATGGCAAAGCCTGGCAAGCTACCCGTGATGTATTTGACATGCCAAACACAGTAACAACAAAGTCTCACAATGGAGAGGTTACTGGGCCCACTCGAGCAAATCGATGAACAACGGGAGGACACTGCTACAGGACAGTGCTACAATAATTACAAAAAGAACTGAAAATTGCTTATTATAGCAATGGTCAACAAGAATTTTAATTGTGGTAAAATATAAATGACATAAAATGTAATTTCCCCAACAGCCACCTTACCCTTTTACTTTATGAATTTGCTGCTCAAACATTTAACACCTCCATTCTGCTGGCAAAACCTGCCACCACCACTCCCCCACCCCACCACGATGCCCAATTGCTTTGGTGGCAACCTCACATGATACACTTACCTTCATGCTGCTCTCAGCAGCGCTGGCTCTCTTCCAAGCGTCTAGCCGTGACCTTCCCATCACTTTAATTTCCTCACGGAGCTCTGTGTTCTCTCTGACCAGCACTTCTATCTGGCTTCTCAGACGGCCATGTGCACTTGACCATTTTGCTTCCTTTCTTTTAAAATCTTCCTGTAAATCCGCTATTTGCTGCCTCAAAGCCTCTCGACAAAATTAAAAAAAAAAAAATTCCTTGAATGAAAGCAGTGTCACAGATGAAGAGATCAATGATCTAATTTGCAACAGAGACAGAAAAGGAAAGCAGAGTCGACCACACTTCAGCAACTCTGGCTGTCTGATTTGGTTTCCAGAAAAAAGAACAGGTCAGACTGAAGCCTCAACTTCAGGTCCAACAAAATTCATTCCAGAAGTCTGGAAATAAAGGAAGCAGACACCACTTAGAAGTTCACAGCAATAATACTACTGCTGGGCAAGAAAAGTCCAAACTAACAGTAAGAGAAAGACAAAGATAAATGGGGGAATCAAGTAAAGAAAAGATTAATAGGACCAAAAATGATAACCTCTCAGTGTCTGAAACCTTAAAGCCCAAAAGTAGAGAGTATGGGGAATATTGTCTGCCATGGAGGCAGGGGGAGGATGGGAAAGGGGGGGTATACCGGGATATTGGTGGTAGGGAATGTGCACTGGTGGAGGGACAGGTATTTGATCATTTTGTGACTGTAACCCAAACATGAAAGCTTGTAACTATCTCACAGTGATTCAATAATTTTTTTTAAAAAGATATAAAATCTGAAGAAAAAAGATTAATAGGAACTCATTATGAACAGACATGAGTTAACGCAGAGGAGACAAAAATAAGATTCCAACTCACAGCACTGGAGAGATAGTACAGGAGTTAAGGCACTTGCCTTGCATGTGGTCAGCCCGGAGCAACCCAAGTGTGGCCAAAAAACAAAAACAAAGATTCAAAACTGATTCCTTTTAGAGTTCATGAGAAGAACAGACTTCAAGAAACTGAGTTGTTCAGAAGAAATTCCTAGGAATAAATCAAGACTAGTGCCCAGACTAAGCAAAGTGATGCTACCTGTACAGCACTTGTAATTCCAAGCCTGGCTGCGAGCCACAGAAAGGCACCGCACAGTGCTTCTTCTAACTGGGAGTAATGCCCCAGGGGTACCAGGACAAGGGGAACTAGTAGGAGCCTTGGGTACTTCGGATGGCACTGTCTCTGTGAGCTTAAAGAAAATTGATTTCTGGGGCGGAGAGATAGTACAGTGGGTAAGGCGTTTGCTTTGTATATGGCCAACCAAATTCAATCCCCAGCATCCCATATGGTCCCCCAAGTACCGCCAGGAGTAATTCCTGAGTGCAGAGCCAGGAGTAACCCCTAAACATCACCGGTGTGACCCAAAAAGCAAAAAAAAAAAATAAAGAAAAAGCAGAGCACATCATCTCAAGGGAGGGGGAAAGGAGCAGTAAATACTGAAACAGTACATTGAACAGAGACTAGAGGAGGGAAAGAACTTTTCTAGGTAAAAGAGAAGCTTTCAGTATACACAGCAGGAAGCAGGGAGCTGGGTCTGTGGGTGGAAAAAACTGAGGCGGAGTCATGAGAGGAAAGAGCAGCAGATGGTAACAGTCATGAGAGGAAAGAATAGCAGCCAAGTAACAAACATTCCTCCACTTCTTACAAGGACTTGACCGTCTAAGGACTTGGGCTAAGGAACATGCGGAGCCATGGAAGGGTCATGAGCTGGGAAGGTCTGTAACCTGCTTCCCATAGTCACCTGGCAGGAAACCAGGGTGAGCGCCAAGAGAGATGGTCCTGGCAGGAAACCAAAGTGAGCACCAAGAGAGGCAGACACAGCAGGAAAGCAGGGTGAGTGCTGCGAGAGGTGGTCCTGGCAGGAAACCAGGGTGAGTGCCAAGAGTGGCAGACACAGCAGGAAAGCAGGGTGAGTGCTGCGAGAGGTGGTCCTGGCAGGAAACCAGGGTGAGCGCCAAGAGAGGCAGACACAGCAGGAAAGCAGGGTGAGTGCTGCGAGAGGTGGTCCTGGCAGGAAACCAGGGTGAGCGCCAAGAGAGGCAGACACAACAGGAAAGAAGGGTGAGTGCTGCGAGAGGTGGTCCTGGCAGGAAACCAGGGTGAGTGCCAAGAGAGGCAGACACAGCAGGAAAGCAGGGTGAGTGCTGCGAGAGGTGGTCCTGGCAGGAAACCAGGGTGAGAGCAGAGAGAGGTGGTCCCAGCAGGAAATAAGAGTCAGAGCCAACAGTGGTGGTCCACTAACTCAGAATCAACTTGATATTCTGCAACACAAAATACGAGAGGAAGATAATGCGAGGCTTATGACTGAGGTACTGAGGAGGACAGGGCTGTCATCACCTGGTAGGGAAAGGTCATCTAAGGACAGCTTTTGCAAAGGAGTTAGTTTGGGAGTTATTTTGAGGAATGCAGGCGGAAAGGCCAGTGGCAGTGGGCAGAGGCCAGCACACAGCAGTCTGGGCTGGGAAAAGAGCACAACTGGAGATGGAGGAGCAAGGACACATGAATTCTAACACGACTAAACTACCTAAACTATGGTCAAAAAGAAAAAGTTTAGAATTTTTTCAGCACAGAAATCACAATTCCGGGGGGTAAAAGGCCATGCCCAGCAGTACAGGGCTACTACTCCTGACTCTGTGCTAAGGGGTCATTCCCCACACCTTGGGAAACCATACAAACCAGGAACCAAACCAGGATCAGTCACATGCATGGCAAGCACTTAACCACATTGACTATCTCTGCAATTCCAAAAATCATCATTTAAACTATGAAGCAAGGTGAGATTAACAGAGAAGACTGGACTGCTCTCACCATCAAGTGTCAACAGGAAAAATCAAAAGAATGTGACAAGGCAAGCAGTCAGGTTAGAGAAGACAGAGCACAGGGACTGGTCCTGAGAGTGCAAGCCCAGACAGGACCAGTGGACGCAGCCCTGCACTGACTGCCGAATGCACAGGGACTGAGAACTGGCCACCAAGCCTGCCACCGAGGTAGGTGGACATCAAGACAGGACAGTCTCTGGGTGGCAATACAGAAGGAAACCTCAAAGAGGAAAAAAGGAAGCAGGAGGTGTAACGTGGAGACAGTGAACACAGACCTTTTAAAGAAGTTTTGCGGCTTTAAAGTTATGGGTTGAGACAGGCAAGAAATGTAATGAAAAAGGTCCAAACAGGAACCATTTCACTCTTTAAAAATCAGACTACAGACACCAGAGTGATAGTAGGGGCTAAGGCATCTGCCTTGCATGTCGCAGGCCTGGGTTTCATCCCCAGCATCCCATATGGTCCCCCGAGCCACCGGGACTGATCCCTGAGTGCAGAACCAGGAGTAAGCTCTGAGCACTGCCAGGTGTGTCCCAAAAAATATTAATAAAAAGAAGATATTCCTGATGTGGTATCTTATAAATTATTTGTTGAACTAATGACTGATTAGAAAAACTGATGCCAAATTATTTTTAACATTGAGTGTAAGGCCCACCAAGCATGACCGGGAATTGTCCTGATCACACAACCAGGAGTAAACTCTGAGCACTGCCAAGTGTGGCCCAAAAGACAAGACAAGAAAAAAACAAATTTATCTTTATAAATTTACATAAGTGAAATTATAAAAACTGGCATACCTGTATTTCTTCACGTTCCCTTTTATCTGGAAAAGCTCGTGTGGCTGCAGTGTACTTCTCAAAAACTTTACGCTCCTTTTGCAGCTTCCTTATTTCCTCCTTCTTAAGCTCTTCTATTTGAGCTAATTCTTTTGCTTTATGTTGTTCGAAGTCTGTAATTTCTTTCCTAAAACAATCAAATCCTGTTACCATCTAAAGCAGAGATTCCCATATTTATTTAGCCTCACAGCCTTTTTCAGAAAGATAAATCACCAAGTACCCCTTAGCAAGCAACTCCCAACTGCACCCACACTACTACTGGCACTTGGTTCTCTCCAACAGCAGGGGAAGCACTGTCCACTCTGGGAAGCTCTAGCCTGAAGGCACCAACTCCAGTTTAGAACAGCACAGCAGTCTCGGTGCCGCCCTGTCTGCAGCGACCCACGCTCATTCCAGGTGGCCTGGGTGACCCCAGCCTTGCATGGCCTCACACAAAACCAGTCCCTGGATCACCAGGAGGGGTCCCTGGGGCCTCTGAGCACTGCCCCCCCAAAGACAAGTTTATATCAATAATCTATGCAATCATTTGGAATTCCACTTATGTACCCAAATGGAACCTTGAGAACAGGCTGGAGCTAAGAGTTACTGCAATGATCAGGCTTCCTCCAACTACATGAACATGAACTCCACAGAGGAATCAAGCAGTGCTGGGGCAGGGGCAGCACTGGCACAGCAGAAACCAGCAGAAAACAAACACTTTACGCCCTGCAAGATGTCCACAGCCTAATGGGAGGGCATTTATCTAATAAGGAAGATTAATCTTTATCTAATATTTCTATTATATTATATAATTAATAATTATATTAATTATATTATCTATATATTTATATTAATCTAATTAACTATTAAAATATCTAATTAATCTTTATCTAATCTAATCCTCATCTAATAAGGAAGATTAATAAAATACTATCACTCCAGTTTGCCTTGCATGCAGCCGACCTGGCAGACCCGGTTCGATTCCTCCACCCCTCTCAGAGAGCCCAGTAAGCTACCGAGAGTATCTCACTGGCCCGCACAGCAAAGCCTGGAAAGTTACCCGTGACGTATTCGATATGCTAAACACAGTAACAAGTCTCACACTAGAGACATTACTGGACCCGCTTGAGCAAACTGATGAATAACGGGAGGACAGTGACAGTGACAGTGACAATAAAATACACGGAACACTAGACAGGTGAAGGGAAATAAAGCAAGGAACAGAGTTGGGAAACTGAGGGCAGAAGACAGATGTGGGAGAAGGTCATCATGAAGAGATATTATCTAAAATAATATCTACAGAGTGATAGTACAGCAGATAGGGCGTTTGCTTTAAACGCGGCCGAGACAGGAGTAATTCCTGAGTGCAGAGCCAGGGGTAACCCCTGAGCATCGCCGGGTGTAACCCCAAAAGAAAAAAGAAAAAGAAAAAAAAGAAAAGAAAAGAACGCCTAAAGGCAATCAGAGACTAAACCATGAGGGTTTCTGTGGAGGGAGTGTGGCTAAATCTGAAGCAGCTGAAAACACAACAGAACACTCTCTTTGTTGTTGTTTGTTTCCTCTGGACAGAACTCTTGAAATTATTCACCGTAACAAAATCAGGAACCAAACTAATTAGGATCAGGACCGGGGTCATAGTACAGCAGGTAGGACTTTTGCCTTGCATGTGGCCCACCCAGGGTCAATCCCCGGCATCCCATATGGTCCCCCGAGTACCACCAGGAGTAATTCCTGAGTGCAGAGCCAGAAGTAACCCCTGAGCATCACCGGGTGTGACCCAAAATAAATAAATAAATAAATAAATAGGGTCTGTGAAACTTTTGAGTATTTGACTAAACAAATCTAAGGGAATATCATACCCAGTTTCATTCTGAGAGTGACACTAGCAATGCAATAGAATAAGAGATCCCAACCCATCACAACAAAAATGCTCTCAAGAGAGGGAATTATGGAAGCCTAAGAACTACGGACAGCCACTGGGCAGAGGCAAACCCTGGGGACAAACTGACCATATCTGGACCTCAGAGAATAAAAGCAGTTGCATCCCTGACCCAGCCACAGTCCATCTGCCAGAAGATCCAGAGAAGAGCATGGTTCTGTCACCCTAAGTATGCTAAGGAACTGGGCAGAATTCATATCCATGTGCAACCCTGATATCAGGGTCAACAGTGGCACCAGAACCAATCCCATAACCCAGATCCAATCCTGCTGGACCCTGTCCACCCAGGGAGTATGGCAGAAACCAAGCCTGACAACTATGGACCCCTCTGCAGATCCAGGAGCAGTCAACAGATCCAGGTGATTTAAGCCCATTTAAGTGTCACCTGGAGGCAAATCAGAGATCTAGCACAGCTAAGTCTTTTCAATGCCAAGCCAGACTAAGACAGAAGGAGGAACACTGGCAGACTTCAGTACAGAGGGGGGGACAAATGGACTTAAAACAACATGTGTTTGTTCATTTTTTGAGGGGGTATGTTTTGGAGCCATATCCAAGAGAGTACCTGAGGCTTCCAGCTCTGTGCTCAAGGGTCTCTACTTGGCAGTGCTCCAGGGACCAAGTCATGCTAAGAGTTGAACCAGGGTCAGCCACATTGCAAGGCAAGCACTTTCACTCCTGTATCTGCTCTCAGGCCTCAAAACAATGATTTCAGGGAAGCTCAGTAAGCTACAACAGAATATAAACAACTCAACAACAACAACAAAAAAAAAAAAAAACAGGAAAATATAAGAAACAAAATGAAAAGTTCAAATAAGAGGTTTATTTTTAAATGCTGAAATTGAGGAATACAATAAAGTGAAAATGCAAAAAAATAAAAACCCAACACTTCAACAGATACAACCAAACTAAAGAATCTGTGAACTCTAAACAATTTTAAACTGTCCAACCAGAAAAGAAAAGAATATAAAGTATGAAAATAAGAAAAAACTATGGGATATATGGGCCACTGACAGTGAGCTAATATATGCATTAGCACAAGGAAAAGAAAAAGAGGGTCAAAAAGCTCATCTGAAGAGGAACAAGAACACCACTGTAAGATATAACAATTATCAGAATTTTTGTTTTTTTTTTGGGTCACACCCAGCGATGCACAGGGGTTACTCCTGGCTCTGCACTCAGGAATTACTCCTGGCGGTGCTCAGGGGACCATATGGAATGCTGGGGATCGAACCCAGATCAGCCACGTTCAATTCAAATGCCCTCCCTGCTGTACTATAGCTCCAGCCCCTATCAAAAACCTTTATTGATTTACTTTTTGATAATTCCAAATGGAATTATGCCTTTTATTGTAACAAGCAATATGAAGTCAATTCATTTGTGCATGTGGGCAGGTTTGGGCAGTGGGTGGGAAACTGAGGACACTGGTGAAAGAAAGGTCACTCTGGTAGTAGGATTGGAACTGGAACAATGAATACCTGAAACAACTGCATAAAAAAAAAGCTTTGTGTTTAAAGTTTCAAACTTTTTTAAATCATGATTACTAAAAGCAAAAACCACTATACGCAAAATTAATGGAATACAGCAAAAATGTAATAAGTGTGAAGTTTATATCAATAAATAACAACCTAACTTTACACTTCAAGAAACAAATTAAGCCAAAACTAGTGGAAGGAAAGATAATCTTTCCTTTCTAGAGTAGAAATAAAAACAAAATAATAAAAAAAAATAAAATCTTTTATTTCTAGAGTAGAAATAAAAACATAAAAACAGAGGAGCAGAGAGAAAAGACAGCAAACAGAGAACTCTGCCTTAACCCTTAACAAGGCTGACCCAAATTTAGTCCCCCAAGCCTCGCCAGCAGTGAGCACCACTAGGTGTGGTCTAAAAACAAACTTACACACAAAAAGGAAAACAATATACAAACACCAAAAATTGTTTTAAAAAAATAAAATCAACAGACCTCCTCTTAGCTACTAAGGAAAAAACAAAATGATTCAAATAAGACCAGAAATGAAAAGGAGACATTACAAAGAATATCACAGCAATAAAGAGGAGCATAAGGGATTATTACCTACAACATGAAAAAAATATTGAATAAACTAGAAAAAATATAAATTTCTCAAAGCATAAAATGTAGCAAAACTGAATCTAGGAAAAGTTTACTTGCCTGAACAGACAAATAAGACAAATAAGAGCAAACAAGACAAGTATGAGTGGATGAAGATTAATAACTTATCAACAGAAGTTCTGGAGTCAAGGACTTCACAAGTAAATTCTACAAAACATTTAAAGAACTATTTCCAACCTTAAACTCTTAAACTCTTTCCAAAAATTAAAAAAAAAAAAACTCTAGCTTTTTGAGGAATGCCCATATTGTTTTCCAAAAAGGATGGACCAGTCAGCATTCCCACCAATGAGGGAGAGTTCCTTCTTTATCCCCACATTCATGTCAGCACTGATTGCTCGTGTTCTTTTTGATGGGTGCCAGCCTCTGTGGTGTAAGATTTTAGCTCTCCTATGTTCATTGCAGCACTATTCACAATAGCCAGAATCTGGAAATAAGCCGGGTATCCAAGAACAGACGACTGGGTAAAGAAACAATGGTGCATCTACACAATGGAATACTATGTAGCTGTCAGGAAAAATAAAGCCATGAAATTTGCTTATAAACTGATGGACATGGAAAGTTACCATGCTGAGTGAAATAAATCAGAAGGAGAGGGACAGACAGAGAATGACTGCACTTATTTGTAGAATATTTTTTTTTAAATCATAATATGAGACTAATACAGAAGGATAGTAGAAACAAGGGCCAGGAAGATTGCTCCACAATTAGAAGACTGCTTCAAGTGCTGGGAAAGAAGGAACTAGAATTAGAAGACTGCTTCAAGTGCTGGGATAGAGAAGAAACCACTATGACAAACACAGTTGGAAATTATCGATCAGAACTACATGCTGAAAGCAGGTAAAGGAACAAACACAATAATCTCTCAGTCCCTGTATTGCAAACCATAATGCCTCAAAGTGTGTGTGTGTGTGTGTGTGTGTGTGTGTGTGTGTGTGTGTGAAGAAGAGGAGGGGGGAGGGGAGGGGAGGGGAGGGGAGGGGAGGGGAGGGGAGGAAAGAAAAGTGCCTGCCACAGAGGCAGGCTGGGTAGGTGGGGGGAACAGTGGATATTGATGGTGGGAAATGTACAGTGGTGAAATGAACAGTGGTGAAGGAATGGGGGAACATTGTATACCGAAAACCCGATCATGAATAGCTTTGTAATTGTGTATCTCACGATGATTCAATTTTTTAAAAATGAAAAAATGGAATGCATCCAACTCATTATACGATATCACACTGACAAGGCCCAAAAAAGACAACACAAGAAACCAAAGTAAAATCCTCAATTAAACCAAATTCAGTAACACAAAAAGACATTGGTCCTTAAAAGGCCCATAACCACACAAGACTCTGACCTGAGATGCAGGTCAGCTTGCTATGTACCCATCAACAGGGTATGAACTAGAGCAGATGCAATGGAAAACAGTACCATGGTTCTTCAAAACACTGAGGCTAGAATCATCTCAAAGTTCAACAATTCTACTCTTGAGTATACATGCAGGACTTCAGCAAAGTTGGCTCAAAGCCTCAAAGCTAAAATGCCCACTAGGCACGCTGAGGCCACGAGCCCATCTCTGGCCTCATCACAAAGAGAGAGCCATCCCAGCACGCAGCTTCCTGGCACCACAAGTGATTTCCAGCCATACTCCTGCCATCTCAGCAAGTACCATAACTGAAAACCATGTGTGAGCACTGTGACAGTAGTGTGACCCCCACATATATGAGCAGCCATGACCCTCCCAGGGCAAACATCCATGCTCAAGTGGGCAAACACTGCCACCATGAGGTGTGACCCCTCTTGAGCACAACAGTCAAATGTGAGGAACTCCTGGCAGGGAATCAAAAGGCCCAGCCCAAGAAGACTAGGGGGTGGGGGGCAGAGAAGAATCAAAACAGAGACTCAAGACATCATTAACAGCAGTTTTATTCATGAGGAAACAATCCAGATATCCCTCTGCTACGTACTAAGGAATAATAAGCAATGTCAGAGGCAGCGACCTGGCCTGGTTCAGGCTTCTACCTCGAGAACCAGGATCAAAGAAACTCCTATTGCCTCATGCCACACAGCTGGTTTGTGTGTTTTTGTTAAGGCCTCCCAAGGCAAGTACTAACACTGCCCAACATTTTCAATTTTTGGTTTAGGATCTTATTCCAAGATAATTTTAAAGTAACTGATAATTTTACTTAATTAAAAATTAACACAATTGAAGGGCTGGAGTGATAGCAGATCGGGTAGGGCATTTGCCTTGCACAAGGCCAACCCAGGTTCGATTCCCAGCATCCCATATGGTCCCCTGAACACCGCCAGGAGTAATTCCTGAGTTCAGAGCCAGGAGTAACCCCTGTGCACCGCCAGGTGTGGCCCAAAAAGAAAAAAAAAATTAAAAAATAAATAACACAATTGGGACCAGCACAATACAACAAGTAGGGAATTTGCCTTGCATGAAGTTGACCCAATTCGATCCCAGGCATCCCATCTGGTCCACCCACCAGAAGTAATCCCTGAGAGCAGAGCCAGAAATAAGCTCTGAGTATTGCTAGTAGCTGGGCATGGCCAAACAAACAAACAAACAAAAAAAAAAGTTAAAAACTATTAAAAAACAGATTTTTACCTCTTTATCATTTATTTCACCTTTGGATTGATGCCAAAATAAAAAGTTTCTATTAGTTTAGATAACATTTTACAGGGACAACTAAGTCATTACATTTTTTTCCAACTTACTGATGCAAACTTGCCTGAGTTTTTCCAAGGAACTTTCTTGTTCAATGCGAAGTTTAACTAAAGTTGTATTCTCAGCTTTAAATTTTTCTATTTCTGTTTCCAATTCAGAAACTTTCTCTCTCAAAACTTGAGATCGAGCTCTGTCACCTATAAAACAGACCAAATAATAAATTTCCAAATTTCAGCAGTAAAACTTGCTAGCTATTAACACTGAGAACTAGGAATCCGGTAAATATCTATACTATTGAAAAAGGATTAAAACAACTCTTCAAATAACAAAAAGGAAAAAATTAAATTGGCTGATTTCTAAGAGAAAACCAATCTAAATTTAAGAATCAAATTATTCTACCTCAGATGAGTATCAATTTGAAAGTGAGGTAAATATATATAAAACCATTCCAATCAAAATTTTTTAAAATAAATATAGGGGAAGGAGAACATATAAGATATGAAGCGGTTTGAGAGATAACACGGGAGTAAGGGCGCTTGCCTTGCACACAGCCAACCCTGGTTCAACCCTGCACCACACAGGGTCCCCCAAGCACCGCCAGAACTATTCCTGCATGCAGAGACACAAGCAAGCCCTGGTTTTGGCCCCAAAATACACACATGAAAAATAGAAAAAAAGAAAAAGTTATTAATAAAATCTAAAAAAACTAAACATCAGAATCAAAGTATACCCCGATTACAAATCAAACACATACAAATTAAGGTTTGGTTGTGTGGGTTTTTTTCACATGAAAGTCTACTGTCTTTCAACTGTGTTTTGGAAAATAAATCTTAAATCTTAAGGCTAAAAGGTGGCCTCCAGCTGCTCTTTAAGCTCCTTAACATGATCCAAAGACACCAAAAGAACTGCAAACAGAGCAGCTCCAGCTCGCTGCAGAGATTTCTCCAGACCCTAATTATCTAAAATTTAAGAATTCCAGGAGCTCGCAGCCGCGAGACACCTTTTTCTTTAAATTTTTATTTTATTGAATCACCGTGAGATATAATCACAAGCTTCCATGTTTGAGTTACAGTCACACAATGATCAAACACCCATCCCTCCACCAGTACACATTCCCCACCACCAATATCCCCAGTATATCCCTTCTCTCCCATCCTCCCCCTGCCTCCATGGCAGACAATATTACTCAGACTCTCTCTCTACTTTCAGGCATTATGGTTTGCAACGCAGATACTGAGAGGTTATCATGCTTGCTCCTTTATCTACTTTCAGCACACATCTCCCATCCTGACCGATTCCTCCAACCATCATTTTCTTAGTGATCCCTTCTCTTTTCCAACTGCCTTCTCCCCTCCTTCCCATCTCTCCCCGACCCCTGCTCATGAGGCAGGCTTCCAGCTATGGAGCAATCTTCCTGGCCCTTGTATCTACTGTCCTTGGGTGTCAGTCTGCAGCGAGACATCTTATGATATTCATAACAAGCAATACAAAAGAGAATATGGGGGAGATTGTCTGCCACAGAGGCAGGGGGAGGGGTGGAATAGGAGGGATACTGGGGACATTGGTGATGGAAGATGTGCACTGGTGGAGGGATGGGTGTTTGATCATTATATGACTGAAACTCAAACATGAAAGCTTTGTAACTGTATCTCACAGTGATTCAAAAAAAAGGCTAAAAGGTTTATAACCACCCTTTGGCCAGGTACTCTAATTATAAAATATCTAGTGGAAGAACTTAAAAATCACATACATTATTTTTGCATAAAAATCTATCCTCGGGGCTGGAGTGATAGCACAGCGGATAGGGCGTTTGCCTTGAACGCAGCCGACCCGGGTTCGGTTCCCAGCATCCCATATGGTCCCCTGAGCACTGCCAGGAGTAATTCCTGAGTACAAAGCCAGGAGTAACCCCTGTGTATTAATAAAAAAAAAATCTATCCTCAATGTTATTTCTTTTTTTTGCTTTTTGGAAGGTGCTTTACCTGCTATACTAGTGCTCCGGCCCTCAATGTTATTTCTAACAGTAAAAAACACCATAGCTGTCCAACATTAAGGAAATCATGCTAAATTTATAATGATCTCAACCATTTTTAAAATACAGAGTTTTATACATAAAATTATCTAGTCAAAAGGGATGAGGCAGGTTTTTATATCTACCACACAAAAATACCAAGGAAAAATAACAAGAAGGAAATATCCCAAAATCATATGACAGTTACCTTTAGGTGGTTTAGTCAAAAATGTTTCCTTCTATATCTGTGAAGCCTCCAAGCTTCCTGCAAAAAGGACTACTCTGAAAAAGTACATTGTTCAGCACACAGCTGTCCCAAGCTTGACCCCTGAGCTTTAAGGGGGACCCCTAGAGAAGGGAGAGGATCCCAACACTGGAAGCCTCTGAGTACCATCGGGTGGCCCAGATAGTCCCAGGGACCACAGAGCCCACGCAGTGAACCCCTGTACAGTCGGTACCCCAGGTCTACCTAGGGTGGGGGGGGGAAGACAAGTACTTTTTTAAAACAGCTTTAAGCTTTAAAGCACCCATGGCTGGCTGAAATTATTTTAAAGTAAAATACTCAAGGGCCAGAGACAGTACAGAGAGTAGGGCATTTGCCTTGTGCACAGCTGGCCCAGTTCCAGGGTACTCTAGATGGTCCCCAGAGCCCTGCCAGGACTGATCCCTGAGCACAGAGCCAGGTATAAACCCTGAGCACTGCCAGTGAGGGTCCATAAAACAAAGTATTCTTCAATATAGCTTGAGTTTTAATTTATATTTCAGAGCACCTATCCTCTGCAAAGACATTAAGGATTTATAAAATTATTTTCCAATATAAGTTTACAAAGTTCATCAACGAATACTATACAGCCATTACATAGAGGCTGATATTTATGTGTTAGAACAACCTTCAAAATTTATTACAAGGGGCCAGATAGTCCAGCAGGTAAGGTACCTGCCTTGCCCATGGCTGACCTGGATTCAATCCCCAACGTCACATATATCACATATGGCTTCTGAGCACAGCCAAGGGTGGCCCAGAAACAAAAAAAAATGTTAATTTTTAAAAGTATGCACAGGGGGCCAGAGAGACAATAGGTGAGGGGGGTGCTTGGCTTGCACATGGCCAACCTGGGTTTGATTCCCCGGTATCCCACGTGGTTCCCCAAGTACCACAGGAAGTAATTCCTCAGTGTACAGCCAGGAAGAAACCCTGGGCATTGCTACATGCAGCCAAACCACATCTCCCACCCAAAGAAAAGTATGTATGTTAAAGAAAGTATGCTGAAATTGAACCCACAATAATACATCCACAAACTGGGTACCCAGAGGTTACAAAAGAAATTTAAATTTAAAATACTAAATGGCTATTTCACTTTTTGATAGTTACTAACTTTAAGATTTAGTAAGACAAACCTTTCAAATACCTAACTCGGAAAACCTGCATATACAAGTCACTGAAATCTCTTCTACTATCATTTAGAGTCATAAATCAAACCAAGTATTCTGACAACACTGATAAAAACATTGAACTTGTAACACTGACAAGTTTGTAATGCTCTGACTTACCAGATGGGTGATCTTGACTTTGGTTTAATTTGGGTTCATTTCCCAAGTGTGACTCTGGTTTTGGTGTTGGTCTCAAAGCAGGGAAGAGTTTAATCATCAGATCTGACGCAGGAGGGCTGGAGCTCCTGCTGGGTTTGCTCAGTTCTTCCCCCTTCCTCACAGGGGCAACCTTCCTTCTTATTGTTCTTTCAGGTGCACATATCTCACCCTTTGAGTAAGAGGCTGTGTGGGGAGTCGCAGGAAGGGCTCCATTCCCAAGAAAAGCATCATTCTTAAACGAATGTTCTTCAAGGTCTGTCCAAGTTCTTTCATCATCAAAGTCAATTTTACTGATACTTACAGCTTTATTTTTCAAGTTTTCTACTATGACAAACTCATCACTACTATAATCTTTATCAGACAAATCCAGATCAGCATCTCTCCTTTCAGCTATTTGAGCCCCAGCTTCCCCGAATGGCCTCTCACTGTCGGAGACCTGCAGGTTATCCCCGCTGAGGCTGGAAGCCCTCTCGTTATCCTCAGCTGAGGGCTTCATGGTGATATCAAGTTCCTCAGAAATAGTACTACTGTCACTATCCATGGCACCTTCGTCGCTCACATTCCACCTAGTTGTATTCTCAGAAGTGCTGATTCCAAAAGATTTCCTAATGGCTTTACGGGATGGTTCCCTCAGTCCATCAGATGGGAATGCAGAGTCCACTTGTCTGGGTGCAATCTCACACTCATGGTGATGCCCACAGCCAGAGTCCCCCGGAGCCTCATTTTGATTGCAATGATTAATGGGGTCTGGAGTCACGTTTTCTAGCTGCACAGCTTTGACAGGGGTAGAAGACAGTCGGCGACCTTGGCAAATTTGTTGGTCCCGCTCCAAAATCTTCAGTACAAAAGAGGAATTACTGGAAAATGATATCTCATCAGCAGCTTGTTCTAGAAACAAAAATTCATCTAATTCCAAATTTTCCTTTTCCTTTTCTTGTTCCCAATTCTCCAACTTTTTCTGGAAAGAAATATCGAGGGCAGATTCCGCCTCTTTCACAGCCTCATTTCTAGAAGCCTTGCAGCTGATGGCCCCAGGCAAAACAAATGATTTGTCTTTACCTTGTGTTTTACTCCAGACTTTACAAGTCATATTACTAGGCTTTATACACTCAGGTACATTTTCTTTATTATTAGATTCAAGCTTCTTTTCTAATTTGGCCTGGTCTCTAAACTGCCCATCACAATTCTCCCCTACTGGAATTTTCAATCCTGATGGAGAAAGGCTTTTCTTCTTATTCTTAAGTACCGTTGGTTTCGGATTGAGCGGGACAAAGCCCGCCTTGGTTCTGAGGTTAGTGGTCTTTTTAACAGGAGGACTCTCTGTACTTAGTTCTTTACCTATAAGAGCAGTTTTCCGCTGGAATTGTTGTCTGTCTGTTTTAAATATAGGTCGATCCTCAAAAACGCTCTGGTTATTCTCTAGAATACATTCTCTTCCTTTCTGAAATTTAGATTTAGCATTAGTAAATCTAGCTAAACCTTCTCCTCGTTTCAAAAATGGCTGTTTAGGTTTTGCTTTGATTAGTGATGATCCTTCTGCTTCCTAAAACAAAAAGTATCTGAATGAATTCTGGTATATTCAGGTAATCATAAAGTTATTTTTAAAAGAAATTATACAGGGGATAGAGCAATAGCACCGCGGGTAGGGCGTTTGCCTTGCATGCGGCCGACCCAGGTTCAATTCCCAGCATCCCAGATGGTCCCCCAAGCACCGCCAGGAGTAATTCCTGAGTGCATGAGCCAGGAGTAACCTCTGAGCAACACTGGGTGTGACCCAAAAAGAAAAGAAAATTATACACCAATCTCCAAAGTTTTCAAAAACTTGGGCCAGAGCAACAGTACTGCAGGTAGGGCATTTGTCTTACACGTAATTGACCCAAGTTCAATCCCTGGTGCCCCATATGCTCCCCCAAACACCATCAGGAATAATTCCTGATTGCAGAGTCAGGAATAATTCCTGAGCATTACTGGTGTGGCCCAAAAACCAAATAATAATAATAATTTTATGAAGTTTTCAATAAAGCAAACTAATGGTAATGCTAACCTGTAGCTGTTTTTGTTTCATCTTCTGTTCGTCCAACCGAATCTGTTCTTCTAAATAGTCTTCAAATGTCTGCTTCTTTTCTCTAATAGCAACTTTAATCGGCCTGCTCATAAGAAGAAAATTATTCAGTATGCAGATCATGATGTGGTATTTCACATTTAATGTACCTCACATGCCCTGACTTCACTAAGAAATAAGCTTTGGAGAGTTCTCAGCCTTGCCTCAAGAAGCTGATAAACACTACAGTGCTCTTCCATACCCCCAAACAAAGGCATTCACAACACTCCACCCAGGGTTCCAGGGCATTAAGGTACCCTACTGAGGTCCAGCAACCGACTAGAGGTTAACTTTGTTAGTAACATATACATTATATCACTTTAAAACATCTAAGTTCATCAAATATGTAGCACTGCACTGCACTGTCCTCCCATTGTTCACTGATTTGCTTGAGCAGGCACCAGTAATGTCTCCATTGTGAGACTTGTTGTTACTGTTTTTAGCATATCAAATAAGCCACAGGGAGACCACCAGGCTCTGCCATGTGGGCAGGATACTCTCAGTAGCTTGCCAGGCTCTCTGAGAGGGATGGAGGAATAGAACCAGGGTCAGCAGCATGCAAGGCAAATGCCCTACCCACTGAGCTATCGCTCCAGCCCCATTAAATATATATTAAGAAATATCTTCAATAATGCAAACAAAGCAACAATGAAAAGTAATTTTGCTCGTTGGTAACCTACATTAAAATATTTCAAACATTTAAGTAATGAAGAATCTCAATATATAGTTTACCTGTCACAATTTTTTAAATTTTATGACAATAAATAAATAAATTTTATGACCAGAGTTGCAAAATTATAATTTTCAAGTGACATCAACTGTGAGGTTCTAATTTTTTTTTCTCTTCTCAAATACAGGATTCACTATTTAAGAGAAGATTAACTATCTAGATAATTTTCTTATGTGAAAAAATACTTCTATCCTTCAAATTCAATGTCAAACACTGACCATATGCTCAACCTCTTTCTGTTAACTATGATAGGTTGTACCTTCAAACGTACACTTAAAAGTACATTCAAGCAAAGTAAAATGTGTTCAATAACAATGGGTAGATATATTTAAACTGTCACATTTCTATTCTTTTCAACAGAGATGGTACCTTTCTTCAATATTAATCACTTCTGAGGAGTCAGCAACTTTTTGTAAGTTCATCTCACTCCCTTCCTGAAACTGTTCCATCACTTTCTCCAAACATGGTAAAATACCTTCTCCTAGGATGAAATTAGAAATAAGTTGTGCGGATGGAGAGGAGAGACATAGTAAAGTCTTGAGAATTTTATAATCTACTATGCAAAAATGTATTTATCTATAAAAACAATATATGCCAAAGATTTTAGGATTCTGAGGACTTGTTGAATGTGATAAAAAAAAAATACAAAAAACAAACACTGTCTTCCCATTGTTCATCGATATGTTCGAGTAACATCTTCATCGTGAGACTTGTTGTTACTGTGTTTGGCATAATGAATACATCATGGTAGTTTGCCAGACTTTGTCGTGTGGGAGAGATACTCTCGGTAGCTTGCTGGGCTCTCCAATAGGGGCAGAGGAATTGAACCCGGCTCAGCCAGGCTGGCTGCGCACAAGGCAAATGCCCTACCAATGTGTTATCGCTCCAGCCCATGATAAAAGAAAAACTAATTAAAATGCAAGTTGCATTTTAGTTTTTCTTTTATCATATTCAACAAGTCCTCAGAATCCTAAAATCTTTGGCATATATTGCTTTTATCTATAAAACAATATATGAATTGTGAATCCTGTATTGTTTTTATCTATAAAAACAATATATGCCAAAGATTTTAGGATTCTGAGGACTTGCTGAATATGATAAAAGAAAAACTAATTAAAATGCAACACTCTAGGGGTATGGTGTTGCCAGCAGGTCAATCTATACCTGTGAGGCGAGTGCATCAGCAGCCTGATGGCGCCCTCAGACTTCCAGATACCCCAAAATTGCTGCTGTGCCTTTCACCAGACCCCAAAAACTTGGGGCAAAGTTTACCAAGAAAGTAAACGGCCAAAAGTTAGGTATGTGGGAGACACACCCACAAACCACCTCTGGCTCAGCTATATAATTGGAGACATGGCCTCTCTGGTTCCTGATCAAACTGCTTAATAGCCATGATCCCAGAGATTCAGAAACAAACCTTAAAACCCAACGGCTTTTGGCAGAAGTGCGTCCAGTCCCCACAGTAGGTTACCGGTGCTGGGGCCAACCCAGGTGGGAATAGGTATTGTGCCTTGGCCTGTTCCCCCTGGCGGCCCAGTGGCCGCCATCCTCCAGAGGCCATTGGACAGTCAAGTTTGGGCCCACAGTGACAAGACATGTTGGTTCTCACAGGATGGGGGTGGAGCCTGTCCTTTCCTCCCCACCCCAACAAGACCCCAAGTCATCGCCCACAAACGACCTCTCTGGCTCCTGATCAAGCTGCTTACTGGCCATGATCCAAGAGACTCAGAAACAAATCTCAGAACCCAGTGGCTTTTGGCAGAAATGTGTCTCGACCCCACAGTAGGTTACTGTCGCCAGGCCACCCCAGGGGGGGAAAGGGTGTTGTTCCTCCGCCTGCTCCCCCTAGGTGGCTCGGTGGCCACCATCCTCCAGAGGCCACTGGACAGTCAGGTTTGGGCCCTCAGTGATGAAACACGCAGGGCCTCATGGGATGGAGGTGGAGCTGGCCCTCTCCATCCCGTCCCAACGAGACCCCCAAGTGGCTGCCCATGAATGCCCTTTCTGGCTCCTGATCAAGCTGCTTAACGGCCATGATCCCAGAGACTCAGGAGCAAATCTCAGAACCCTGCAGGTTTTGGCAGAAATCCCTCCAGATTTAAGTGTTAAAATATCGGAATTTCAAAATTCCACGGCCACTACAGCAGCCATGCAACATCATGTTATTCATAACTAGCAATAGAAAACAAATTGTCTACAGGTGCCTTTTCAACAGATCTGAGTATTGGGGTAAAATCTCAATAATGGTGGGTCTGGTGTCAAAATATTGAATGTGATCAAAGTAGAGAGAGAGTAATGTGAAAATCATCTGCCCCACAGGTAGGGGGAGGGCGTGGGATGGGGGTATACTGGGGTTGTTGGGGGTGGAGAATGGGCACTGGTGAAGGTTCCGGTGTTTCATTGTATGACCGAGACTTGAACCCGAAAGCTTTGTAACTGCTCTCATGGTGATTCAATAAATAAAATTATAAAAAATGAAAAAAGGGGGCTGGAGCAATAGCACAGCAGGTAGGGCATTTGCCTTACATGCGGCCGACCCAAGTTCAATTCCCAGCATCCCATATGGTCCCCTGAGCACCGCCAGGAGGAATTCTTGAGTGCAGAGCCAGGAGTAACCCCTGTGCATTGCTGGGTGTGACCCAAAAAGCAGAAAAAAAAAAGGTGGAGTTCATACCCAATTCAATCAGCTAATCAGTGGCTGAATAAATAGCAGTACTCCTACATTAAAAAAAATAATAAAAATAAATAAATAAAATGCAACACTCTTCAAAGGGCTAATACTATGGGGAAAATGTAAGCTTTTCTATTATTGTTTTGGGGTTTGTTTTTGAGGGGCCTTCCCGATGCACAGCTGGAAGCTACCAGGGAGGCCCTTCAATGCCAGGGAAGAAGTCAAGGGTGATGTGCAAGCCATGAGGCATCTCCATGGCCTCCCAAAAGGGTGATAACTAAACTGATGAGGGGTAAAGAGGGGCAGAGAGATAGTTCACCAGGCATCTAAGCATATGTTTTGCATGTAGGAGGCTGGGCTCAATCCCTAATCTAAATAGTTCCCTTGAACACTCTCAGAACAGTCCCTGAGCACAGAACCAGGAGTAGTCTGAGCATTTAGCATGTTGTCTAAAAACAAAAGAACAAAGAAAATGTTTAAATGTTACAACCACCAAATGTAATGCATGAACTTATTGAAAATCGGGGTTTAAAGAAGTGACAAAAAAACATTATAAGGCATTTTTAGGATAATACAGAACACTAAAATGAATCTGAATATTAAAAAATTTTAACTGACTTTTGTCTTTAGGTAAAACAGCTAACACTGTACTTATATATATATGGAAGAGTTTTCTAATATTTACTTTATGTACGTTGAAATACTTGAAATAACTTACCAAAATATCTATGTATTACTTGCAATCAAATGGTTTAGCAAAACAGATGTGTCTGTCTATATATACATATGCACACATATATATCCATGTAGAGAGATAATAAGTATACATACATGTAATTATACATACATAAATATATATGGTAACCTACTGAATCCCGTATTCAATATGCCAAACACAGTAACAACAAGTTTCAAAATGGAGACGTTACTGGACCCGCGCGAGCAAATCAATGAACAACGGGAGAACAGTGACAGTGACTACTGAATCCAAGTAGTAGTCATACTAACATTGGTCTTTCAACTTTTCAGGATGTTTAAAATTTTCTAAAAGTTGAGGGTATATTCTTTTTTGGGTCACACCCAGCAATGCTCAGGGGTTACTCCTGGCTCTGCACCTCTGCACTCAAGAATCACTCCCAGAAGTACTCGGGGGATGATATGGGATGCCGGGGATTCAATCCGGGACAGGAGCATACAGGGCAAATGCCCTACCAGCTGTACTATCACTCCAGCCCGGGTATATTCTTCTTTCAAAAGTAAAAACCTCTGCACCCTGAGTGACGCACGGGGCTGCTGGTGCCTGGGAGCAGCCTGGGAGCCACAAGGTTCCTGGTACTCGTGAGCAGCCCAGGAGCCACGTGAATTGCTGGTGCCCTGGAGCACACAGACTGCGTGCAGAAAGAGCATCTTCCAGAGGAAGCAAAGGCACGACTGCCTGAGTCCCAGTAACTCGTGTGCAGTTCTCCTCCCACAGTTATTAGGTGATGCTGCCAGTGATGACGAGTGGACCATGTTGCTATCTGTCAGTAACAGTTAGAGAAGTTGGAATATTGTTCTCAAACACAGTGGTTTCTGCTGGACACTAAGGACTGCTATAAATTATAAAAAAAAAAAAAATTATAAACTTATTAAAAAAAAGTTAATTAAAAAATAATAAAAAGACATACAGGAGTGATAGTGCTGGGTGTGCCTTACAGGGGGCCAACCCTGGTTTGATCCCCAGTACCACCCAAAACAAAATCAGGAGTGATCCCTGAGAACTCAGTCAGGAGTAACACCAAAGCACCACCAGGTGTGGCTCAAAAATCTCCCCAAAATTTTATTAAACAAAATTTTAAAAAATAAAGACATCTTGCTTTCCATACCATGGGAGAACTATTAGTGTCCAATCCTTAATAGTAAGTATAGATTACTTTTGTCATATTGTCTGCATTATATTATAAGTTTCCAAGAGCATACTCAAGAATTATACCATTAAAATGGAAAATCTAATTTATATTAAAATTACCAGGGACCAGAGAGATAGTACAATAGGTAGTACCTTACATGCACCCAACCCAGATTTGATCTCCTGCACCCTAAATGGTCCCCCAAAGCCCGCCAAGAGTAATCCCCGGGTGCAGAGCTGGACAAGTCATTCAATGACTAGCCTGTAGCACTGTCCTCCCGTTGTTCATCGATTTGCTTGAGCGGGCACCAGTAACGTCTCCATTGTGAGACTTGTTACTGTTTTTGGCATATCGAATACACCACGGGGAGACCGCCAGGCTCTTCCATGTGGGCGGGATACTCTCGGTAGCTTGCTGAGCTTTCCGAGAGGGACAGAGGAATCGAACCTGGGTCAGCTGTGTGCAAGGCAAACGCCCTACCTGCTGTGAAATTGTGGGTGTAGAACTGGAGAAAGTACAGGGGGAGGCACTGGCCTTGCATGCAGCAGATCCCAGTTCTGTCCCTGGCACTGCATCTGGTTCCCTGAGCTCCAACAGGAGTGACTCCTGAGCACAGAGCTAGGAAGGGACCTGAGCACTGCCAGGTATGGTCCAAAAACACACAACACCCCCCACCAAAAAAAAAAAAAAAAAAGATTGTGGCTATAAAGACTACATAAAGTACCAACATTCCATGTTGAATGAGTAAAAAATACACACACACACATACACATATACATGTATATATATATGTATATATGTATATATATATATACACACACACATATATATATGCATATATTTCCCATGATTATAAAAAGGGTTTTTTTAAAGGGGAGCAGCAGAAGAGCACTTACCTTGCATGTGTGAGGAATGGGTTCAATCCCTGGCTCCTCTGAATGAAAAGTTGTAAGAGAAGGAAGAGAAGGTTGTGTACCCAGAAGGGAACACCCCAACTTCTGTCCTTCACACTGAGCACCAATTTTCTGGCAGGATTGGGCTGGGTAACAGAAGTGCTGACATACAGTGGAACTCCCCTAACCACAGGAAGTTTGGGCGCATAGCTGATGATGCCATGGGACTATTATCTGGCACTCTGCTCAGGAGTGACTCCTGGGTATACTCACGGGAACATACATGGTACCAGAGATTCAAACCAGGGTCGCAGTTAGTATGGCTGCAGGGAAGACAAGTGCTCCCCTTCTGCACTGTCTCTTACCCTGGATATTCCTTTTATGAAAAATAAGTCCCATCACTTACCTAGTTCTCACATTTTACATTTCCTATCATTTTACTCACCACCACACATATTTGAAAATCATTTTGAAACACTCAAAGAAAATACAACATTCAGAATTCACTGCTTCCTTTTTCAAAACCCCATGAACCAGATAGGGCCAGAAGTTGGCATGAGTACTGACCAACTATTCTTGGAAAGTCACAAATTCCACATCAGATCTGCATCCAATCACAGGACAAGCTGGATCACATGGAGAACATTACAATTAAAGTTACAGGGAACAGGTGAAAAATGCACAAAGGACTTTCATCTGAAGGCAGCTTTGTAACAGTTCAGTACAGAAGTTAAATAACAGGAGAGAAATATATGTAACTCACCTATAGAGTCATTACAATTTTCTTCCTTAAAATCACTCATTTTCACTGGTGCTCCTTGATATTTTGCTACATAAAACAAACTGGGAGATGCACTGCTTGAGACAAGATCCTGAGGAGAACTTTTGCTGAAGTGGTTTTGTTGATCAGATAAAAAGTTGGAGCTGTACATTTTTCCTTGTGTTTGATTCTGGCTGACAGTTGATAAGTAGGGGGTGTTTTTCTCTATGGTGGCAGAATTTCCTGGACATCTATACTTTGGGCTCTGAGCATCAAGCAGTAGACTTATACCTTGGAATTACAAAATTCAACAAAGCTGGTGACTTTCTATAGCAGTTTCTCTATGTTCTAGTAACCCCTACCACGTTTTCCAAGTGATACAAGTATTTCCCCCCTTATTAGGAATATATATATGTATATATTTACATATATATATGAGCTGAAGCAATAGCACAGCGGGTAGGGCATTTGTCTTGCATGTGCCCAACCCAGGTTCAATTCCTCCTCCCCTCTCGGAGAGCCTGGCAAGTTACCAAGAGTATCCTGCCCGCATGGCAAAGCCTGGCAAGCTAACCGTGACATATTCCATATGCCAAAAACAGTAACAAGTCTCCCAATTTGTTGTGAAAAGTTATTGGTGCCCGCTCGAGCGAATCGATGAACGGGAGGACAGTGCTACAGTATATATATATATATATATATATATATATATATATATATATATATATTGCTTTTTGGGTCACACCTGGTGATGCACAGGGGCCACTCCTGGCTCTGAATTCAGGAATTACCCCTGGCAGTACTCAGGGGACCATATGGGGTGCTGAAAATCAAACCCGGGTCAGCCGCGTGCAAGGCAAATGTCCTATCCACTGTGCTATTGCTCCAAGCCCCAGGAAAGTATATCTATAAGAACTGTGAAATTTTTTTTTTCAATTTAAAATATTTTATTAATCAAACTATGAAAAACATAAAATATCATTAAGGGGTGCACACTACATGTGGCATAATACTTATTCTTTTTTTTTTTCCATTTTTTTCCCTTTATTTTATTTTATTTTTTTTAAAGTTGTAGATTTACAATTTTTTGTGCTTTAGTTTCAATTATACAATGATCAGATACCCATCCCTCCACCAGTGCCCATTTTCCACCACCATGGATAATATCCCTCCCACCCCCATCCCCCCATCCCCCCTGTCTCTGTGGCAGGGCAATCCCCTGTGTTCTCTCTCTCCTTTTGGGTGTTGTGGTCTGCAAAATAGGCATTGAGTGGCAAACATGTTCAGTCCATAGTCTACTTTCGACATGCATCTCCCCTCCTGGGAGGATCCTCCAAACATCCTTTATTTGGTGCTCCCTTCTCTATCTGAACAGCCCTTTCCTCTAGGATACCCGGCTGGCCTCTAAGTTATGGAGTAATCCTCCTGGTGCTGATCTCAGCTATTCTTGGGTATTAATCTCATACTTTGAAGAACTGTGAAATTTTTTAATTCTAATCTTTTGTAATTTTAATTATATTTGCATGGACAGAGAGCAGGTATACTTCCCAAGTGTGGAAGATTCTCATATTCATGCTCCACATGTAAGAAGCTCTGCTTAGGACTTGGCAACTCCACAGCTATGACATACAGAGCAAAAACACAGATAATTAAAATGATCTCTACTGTTTCCAGTCAGTAAGTATTCTGTGTCACAGCACCTAAAAGTCTTTTTCATTTGTAAAAAAAAACACCCAGAGGTGCTCAGGACTTAATGCTGGCTCTGTACTTAAGAATCACTCTTGGCAGGGCTTGGGTGACCATATGGGATGACAAGGATTGAACTCAGGTCAGTCACCCGTAAGACAAGCACCCTACCCACTGTACTATCATTCCCACCTGCAAGCTGGTTTTGTTTGTTTTTATTTTTAGAAAGTATTTTTTTCTTAAGATTACACCAGTGAGACTGGCACACATCACCATAAACAAAAACAATCAGTACTGGTGTGGATATGAGGAAAGGCTCCAAACCTCAATCACTGCTGGTGGGAATGCAGACTGGTCAAATCTTTTGGGAAAATATGGACAGATTCTCAAAACAGCAGGAATCGAGCTTTCATATGACCCAGCAATCTCACTTTGGAGCATCTATCTCCAGGGCCCCAAACACTGTTTAGAAAAGACAAATGCACTCATATGTTCATTGTAGCACTATTCACCAAAGCCAAAACCTGGAGACAACCCAAGTGTCCAAGAACAAATGACTGGAGAAAGGAACTATGGTACTTATACACGATGGAATACTGCTAGGCTATAAGGTGAAATCGTACACTTTGCTAAATGGATGAATCTGGAGAGTATCATACTAAGTGGGATGGAAAAGAACAGACACAAATGATCTATCTTATATGTGAGATATAAAGAAACACAGTAGGGGAATAACAAATGCTCAAAGGAAACAGAAACTGAGAACATGAGTAGGAAGCTTAGGGGAAAGGGCCGCCTGGGGGAACTTGGAGTAGAGGAACCCCAGTGAGGGTGTGGTTCTAGAATGTCTGATGTGTAAACCTACACTAATAGTATGGTAAACTACACCCTGTGACAGGCTCACACAGCCGACCTGAGTTCAATTCCAGCACCACACATGGTCCCATGGCCCACCAGGAATGATCCCTGAACACTACTGGGTATGGTCCAAACACAGAAACAAAAAATTGTTATCTGTAATAATATATTGTTGGGGATTGGAGCAATAGCAAAGCGGGTAGGGCATTTGCCTTGCACACGATTGACCTGGGTTCAATTCCCAGCATTCCATATAGTACCCCGAGCACTGCCAGGAGTAATTCCTGAGTGCATGAGCCAGGAGTAACCCCTGAGAATCACCGGGTGTGACCCAAAAAGAAAATATATATATATATATGTATATATATAGTTGGTTATTAAATGAATTATTTTTGAAACTTCTGTTTTAATGTCTATTATAGTAAATATCAATAGCTATAAGCACATACAATAAATATTATTTGGAGTCCTCAAATACTTAAAGAGTATTAAGTGGTTCTGATGCCAAAAAGTGTGAGGGCCCAAGGAGACAGCTCAAGACGTAGCACACAGGGTCAGATATAGCTCATTGGACTGGAGCACATGCTTCACATACAGTAAACTTGGGTTAGATCCCTGGCACCCTGTGGGTCCCCCAAGCAGTGCAGAGACAACTCACCTCCTGAGCAGCCCTGCACATTGCTAGGCGTGACAAGAAAAATCAAACAAAGTGTTATCCTACAGTAACACACGTGCCTACCACGTATGAAGGTTATGTATGAAAATGTGCAGCCACTGTCTAAAAGCAACTGCCCATAACTAAATGGAGTTAGTACTTGGTTTTAAGAAGAGAAATAGTTTACTAAAACATTCATTTGGGAAGATCATTCTGAAAATGTGGAGATCAAAGATGGCCCTGGAAGAGACTGATACCTTGTCATTTACATCTTAGCTCAAGGATCCCAATCCTCCCTTTTCTTAAATTTTCTTCTTTAATTTCAGTCACTGTATTTCACACTTTGAAAATACTATCAGAGGCACGGTTTATGCATATTTCAGCAGCAGCGTTTCCACCATATTGCCCATCTCCCTCCACCGGGGCCTTTTCATCCTCAACCCTTCCCCACATCTCACTGACTAACTTCTCCATTTAGAGGACTTAGTGCTTTTATTAATTTTGAAATCTGCTTCCCTGTAACTCTATCTTAGTACTATTTCTAAAATAGTATCACAGACTATTATTTTCATAATCTTATTCTTTTTATGTATTCCATAAAGGAAACTTGAACCATCTACTTCAAGATACACATTCTCTTTATTCTCCAATATAATATCCAAAAATCCTAAATCATTATTTCTCAATCATTTTTTTAAAAAAATTTATTAAGGCACTGTGATTTACAAAGTTTTTCATGATTGTCAGAAATAAAATGTTTCAACACCAATTCCTATACCAATGTCCCTCCACTCCCTCCCATCCCCAGCTGTCTATATGGCAGGTACTTTTTTTTTTTTTTGCCACTAAGATTTATAATACTCTTACTGAAAGGGTTTCATGTCTGACACATTCCGGCTCAACACCTCCCTCAGAGTGGCCATTACCTCCACCACTGTCAAAGTGTCCCCCTCCCATCCTACCCTCCCTGCACTTCCTTACCCAGTGGCCAGCATCTTACAGCATGGCCAGTGGGCATATTATTCCCCTACTATATTCCTTTCTTATATCCATCCATGTAGCAGCAAATTACATGATTTCACCTTTTCTTATAGCCTAGTAGTACTCCATTGTGTGTAAGTACGATAGTTTCTTAACAGTACCAGGACAGACATTTTTTATCTGATCTTGAACCAGGTTTTGGCTTCCATGAATTGTGCTGCAATGAATGTAGGAGTGCATTTGTCTTTTCTAGTGTTTTGGGCTCTTGGGATAAATGCCCATAAGTGGGATTGCTGAATAATACAGAAGCTCAATTCCTAGTTTCTTGAGATGTGTGCATATTGTTTTCCAAAAAGGCTGAACCAGTCCTCACTCCCACCAGCTGTGAATGAGGGTCCCTTGTTCCCACATCCACACCAACACTAGTTGTTTTTGTTCCTAGTGATGTGTGTCAATCTCTCTGGTGAGGTAATATCTCATTGTTGTTTTGATTTGCAATATCCTGATAAATGATATATAGCATTTTTCCATGCTTTCTGGCCATTTGTATTTTCTTTGGAAAAATTTCTGCTCAGTTCTTCTCCCCAACCTTTTTCTGACGATGGCTTCCTTCAGACCTTGTTTCCTTCCTGTGGCCCCCATGTCTTATTGGTTGTCCCCGTATCTCCTACCATGGTCCTACCTGGACTACCTTTTAGCCCCACAGAGTCCCAGGCTGAGAAACTTCACTCTCAACTGGTCTTTCATCTATGCACCTCTCACCACCACCACCACCGAGCAAATCCCTCCCATCACAACCTGCACACTCACTTGTCACTGTTTTCCTTCTCTGTGTTCTCAGTGACAATGCACTGGCCTGAATTAATAAGATAAATCGCTTTAAAAAGCAGCACTAAGAAGCAAACACACTGTACCACCTGTTTTTAAACACTTGTGGGACACAATACAATCGCAACAGATATCAGAAGCAACAACTCACAACTGTCGTAACTTTAATGACAGAGCAAACATACAATACCATTAAGGACTGGTTGATGAAACTTCTTTGAAAGTATGAGTACTATTTTGCAATGGATTTGTTACAATGGAATCTGATTGAAAGATTTTAAAATCACTCTCCAGATAACATTTGAATCTCTAATAAGGACATCATGAGTTCTACTAACTGATCTAGCATACATCAAAAGAATTACATTATCCAAGCACAGAAAATCTTTTAATATGGTTATTAGGCTGAGCAAAGCAGATTTACACCCATTCATCTACATAAGCAAGTACTTTTCCATTCATCAGGCAGACTCTATAAGCCAGCAGCCCTAGGCTCTAGACCTTTGCTAGGTCTTTTGAAAATTTTATTTTATAAATAAATGAGTGCCTTTAATCTAGACAAAGAATGGCATATCTTCCAAACATCCCAATCATATTCCATCTCTAAATTCCATCAGAATTACCTGCCTGCAAAGAAATTACACTTTATAACATATATTAAAGAAATGATAACTAACTTGTTAGACTACTGAAGAAAAACACTCAGCTGCTTATCACTGTACGTAACTGAAGGTCCTAAAAAAGCCAAAGTACCTGGGAGTATATGCTGCCCAGACACCTTGGTTAGCAGCTTCTCTTGCTCCTCCATGAGTCTCTGCAGTTGCTCTAACTGTTGCCTCTTCAGTTGCTCCTGCTTCTTCTGTTGCATTTCTTTCAGCTTTTTAAACATAAATTAACTTCATTAAGTGAATTTTACACTTATTGTCCTTTGCTAGTTACATTTACTCCCTCCAAAGCATTCTTCTGCGGTATTTCTAAATCATTTCAAAGGTGGGCCCTCCGAAACCAAACTTCAAACTCAAAGCTTCAGTTTGTGGGTTTGGTTAGTTTGTGGGCCACATCTGGTGATGTCAGGGGACAGGGTATTTGCCCCCAGCAGTCTGAGTCATGCAATGCCAGGAATCTGGCAAGGCAAGTGCTCTAGCGGAGAGCCACATCCCCAATCCCTAAAATTTAATTTTTATAAGAAAATTCATATCAACTATCTCAACTAAGAACAAAAAGGGTCATCTGAGGGGCTGGAGAGATAGCACAGCAGGTAGGGCGTTTGCCTTGCATGCGGCCGACCCGTGTTTGATTCCCAACATCCCATATGTTCCCCTGAGCATCGCCAGGAGTTAACTCCTGAGTGTAGAGCCAGGAGTGACCCCTGAGCATCGCCGGGTGTGACCCAAAAAGAAAAAAAAAGTCATATGAATACTTTTAAAACAAGATAGATATCAGTAGATTCATGACCAACTTTCCCTCCCAATTTTTGGTCAGCCATTTACAACTTAGTCTTTGCCAAATAAGGTAGGAACTTAAAGATGTTATTTTTATGTTCTACATGCTAAACATATTCTGATGTTTCACATTAGACAAAAAGCAAACTGATATATTGAGGATTTCAGAGTATTTCACACAGCACTGTACCTGTTCAAGCTTTTTAAAAAGTGGATCTTTATAAGCCAAGTCTTTGCTTTCACTTTCAGTAACTGAAATAAAGTCACTTTTGTTACCTTCCGAATGCCCAGAAGCACCCTCACATGCCACAATCTGAGGGACCTTTTTGATTAAGGGGAAGGCAGTCTGTGTTGCAGATTCATCTGACTGTAATTTGTAAGGGCTATTAGGTTTCAATTTCTGTTCTTCAAGTGAATCCTCTTCACTTAAAAAACTGAAGCTATTTAAACAATGCACAGCTTTTATGGGAAAGCTGGTAGATATGTTCACAGCTTCATGTTTCTCTTCATCTGCTTCCAGGATGGGAAATTCACGATTTAATATGACCCCAGCCCGAGAAGGATTGGTAGTCCACTGCGTTAAGAAGTTCTGCCCACTGCTTAGCTCCGAAGAGGCCGGCATCAGGAACATTTTAGTCCAGTGCTGCTTCTATATGAAAACTATATAAATGCCAGAAGAGCAAGTAACTTCCAACACCTGCAAAAAGAAGATAACCAAAAAAAAAGATATATGTATGTATATATATATATATATATTAAAGTCATTCTACCCAAAATGTTCCAGAACAAAAATCTACTAAATTGTGTTGCAATGCTGCCCAAGCCATTGAGATCCCTGACATCATATATGGCCCCCAAGCACTGACTGCCAAAGGTCACTCCCAAGCACAGAGCCACAAATAGCCTCACCAATGTGGTCCAACCCCCACAAAAAATATGAGCACACAAAAGATAGAGCAAAGTATAGATGCCCAGACACTAAAATATGTTAATCCTTTCATTTGAAGAAAAGAAACTATCAGTAAGAATATATAATTTTGTACCAGGCTGTGTTGGCAATGGTTAACATCTAGTGTTGAAAAGAACTCTTTTAAAATGGTACTTGGAAATGTAAACTAGGAAAACCTTTTAGAGGGCAATTTGACAGTATCTATTCAATACAAATGCACAGAAACTTGAACTCTGCAATTTAACAGCTTTCTGACAGGGGGGTTCTGAATGTTTGTAATAAACTGGCATTAACAGGAATCAGCTAATGCATATAAGAAATAGAAAAGGACAGGAATGATACAAGATGAGAATCTACTGCCTGGTGCATGGGAAAACCAGATACAGTCACACCACCTTCTGGGAGAAGAGAAGGCGTTTGCAGTTCACCATTCAATGAGGCAGGAGCAAGGCACAATTCCGCCTCCTGTTTATCAAGAAATAGGTAAATTTCCAACCTGACCTTCTTGTGTACAGAAACGCCCCTGAAACCTTCACCTTGCAGAATGCCATTATACACCCAACAGAAGTAGCTATAACTCACCACACTGGACAAAGTCATGGACATCCAAAGTCAGAGCAACTCTTCCTAAGGAAAGGAACTTGGGGGGCCAGGCAGCCCACAATGCAACCTCCCAAACTCAGTTTTCTGCTTTAGTCTCAAGAACACACCTCTTCCTCTTTCAAACCTAACTAACAGAGGAAGGCTTGGAGGGCATATTAATAGGGATTTGACATGGAATCATATCACTCCCAGGACTCCCAGGAATGGATGATTATACAACTAAGGTAGAAAAATCCTGGTCCACTCACATATGAGGAGGAAATGGTCCACCCCTGACATCAAAGCTCCATCTGCGGTGAAGACACTACCCTCCATGATGCAAATGAACCTACTCTGTCCAAGTCATGCAAAAGTATTCAGGAGTGCTAAAGAGAAGCCAATACTGGCCTCCCACCCACCACCCACCACAAAGGCAGTGCAAGCCTGAGGACGCAGCCCTGGGGCACAAGAAAAGAAAAACTATCCAAGAGTAAATCTAGGAAGGGAGGTGAAGGTCTGCACGCTGGAAACTGTAAGATATCACTGAAAAAAAAATGAGAACAAAACCCAAAGGTTTTTAATGTGAGTGAACTGGAAACAAATATCAAAATGGCCATCTTACCTAAAACAATCAATAGGTCTATGACATTATTCAAGGAAACAGAACAGACAATTCTAAAAATTGAACTGCATGGAACCACAAAAGACCCTAAATAATTAAAATAACACTTGAAAAAGAAAAAACGGAAAACATCATCTTACTGGCTTCATTACAGTAACTGCCTTGCATGTGACCAAACCAGGTTCACAATCACTGGCACAGAGCTAGGAGTAAATCCGGAACATAGGCAGGTGGCCCCAAAACAAAACGAAACCCAAAGCAGCTGTAATTAAGACTGCGGGACCGGAATGAAAACAGGCAGAACAGGCAGCCCATGGGACCACAGCAATATTACAGTTGACAGGCCATCTGCTTTGCACTTGGCCAACTAGAGTTGGGCCCTCAGCGTCCAAACATGCCCATACGTGCAGGAGTAAGGCCTGAGCACCGTTGGGTATGGCCTAAAAACAGACAACAGAACAGGGGTAAACCCACACTACAAGGGCCATAAGCAAGAATAAGAAACTGAACCGGGGCTCCAAACAGCAACAGGGCACTTGCCTTGCATGTGGCTGACCCCAAGTTGAGTCCAGAAGCACGGTACCCAGAGACTGCTGGAGGCACCCCTAAAGCATGGCAGCGTGTTGCCCAAGTCTCCAGCGCCAAATCAAGACCATACCAGGGGGAAAAAGCAGATCTCCTCAGTGAATGGAGGTGGGAAAACTGAGTCACCATAGCAAAATAATGAAACCAGGTAACTATCTAACACCGTACACAAAAAGTATCCAAATGGATTAAAGGTTTAGATGTCAGACCCAAACTCTTATATAAACTACAAGGAAACAAATACAGGCGGGACGCTACGGGACCTCAACACCACCAGGGTCATACAGAAGACTTCACGCCAGGGCAAGAAAAACAAGAGAAAGACCACAGGCCCCATCAGGCTAGAGCGGGCAGAGGGGCGAGGGGCAGGTGGGAGGGTATTCGCGCGTCCCAGAGCTGTAACGCCCTCTCACCGCCAGGGCAGGCCGGCAGGCGCGTGGGACCCGGGGCGAGCGCGACCCCTGGAGCACGCAGACCGGGGCGGCCGGGACGGTCCCGAGCGCGGCCCTCGGTGCGCACCGCGGGCGGGAACCGGGGGCGGGCACCGCGGGCGGGCACCGGGGGGCGGGCACCGCGGGCGGGCGCCGCGGGCGGGCACCAGGGTCCGGCACCGGGGGCGGGCACCGGAGCGAGCACCGCGGGCGGGCACCAGGGCCAGCCCCGCCGCCACGGAGGGCGCAGCTTGGCAGCGCGTCAGGTGAGGGACGGGAAAGGGCGGCTGCGCGGCCCCGGGGTTCTCGACGTGGGGAGTGCAGACACGATCGGCAGTTTCGAGGAGACGGTCCGGATCCCTCTCTGTGACGGGGTGCACCGGGGACACGGCGCTTGGGGGTCCGCCAGCCTCAGCTCACCTGCGCGGCCCAACGTCAGGACCTGCGCCCGCGGCTCCCTCGCCCGGCTCACCACGACCCGCTTCCCGGACCCTCCAAACCGGCCCCGAGTCTCCCGCGCCGGCCCCGCCCGGACTGACCTGCCCTGCGCCCGCCTAGCCTGCCCGCGGCCTCCGGACCACGCACAGCGCCCGGCCCGAGGACCGCCGCCCGGCCGCTCTCCTCGGCGCCCGCGCTCGCCCGCCTTTACGAAAGGGCCGCCACGAGCGCGCGGGGCACTAGCCCCGCCTCCCGCCGAGCGCGCCTGGGAAACGGAGTTGCCCGCCGGCCTCCAGTGCCGCGGCCCCAGGGCGCCGCCCACACGCGCGGACTACGACTCCCAGGAGCTCCACAGGGCTGGCGTGCCCGGGGAGACGATTTCCGCCTTCCGGTCCGACGCGGCCCGCGGCTCGGCGCGGGAGAGAAAAACGGTCCCGCTCGGCCACGCCCCTGAGACGCCCACCCCCTCGGCCACGCCCCTTCCTGCCCGCTCCGCTAGGCCACGCCCCCGACAGGCCCTCCTCTCGGTTGCTCCTGCTCGGCCACGCCCCTGTCCGCTCCTCTCGGTTACGCCTCTGACAAGCCCAACCCCCCCTCCCGCTCCTCTCGGCCACGCTCCTCCCCGCCAGCTCTACTCGGTCACGGTCACGGCCCTGTCAGCCCTGCCTGCCTGTTGAACCTAGGCGGCCCTGGCAGTCAATCCACAGCGTTCTGAGCCTATTTTTTTGCATGTAGCAGTCCAGTGATGCCAACACAATTTATTAAAGAGGCTTTTCTTACTCCACTTCACATTACTTGCACCTTTATCAAAGATTAGATGATCATATGATTGAGGGGAGATGTCAGTGTATTCAACCCTGTTCCATTGGTCTGCAGTTCTGCCTTTGTTCCAGTACCATGCTGTTTTAATTATTACTGCTTTGTAGTACAGTTTGAAGTTCGGGAGGTTGATTCCTCCCATTTTCTTTTTCCCAAGAATTGCTTTAGCTATTCGTGGGGGCTTATTGTTCCATATAAATTTCAGGAGTGTTTGCTCCATTTCTTTGAAGAATGTCATGGGTATCCTTATAGGGATTGCATTGAATTTATACAATGCTTTCGGTAGTATTGCCATTTTGACAATGTTAAGTCTCCCGACCCATGAGCAGGGGATATCTTTCCATTTCCTAATGTCCTCTTTTATTTCCTGAAGTAGCGTTTTGTAGTTTTCTTTGTACAGGTCCTTTACTTCCTTAGTTAAGATGATTCCTAGGTACTTGATTTTCTGGGGCACAATTGTGAACGGGATTGTTTTTTTTCATGTTGCTTTCTTCTCTCTCACTGTTTGCGTATAGGAAAGCCATGGACTTTTGGGTATTGATTTTATAACCTGCAACTTTACTATACGAGTCTATTGTTCCTAGGAGTTTTTTGGTGGAGGTTATTGGGTTCTCTAAGTAGAGTATCATATCATCTGCGAATAGTGAGAGCTTGATTTCTTCCTTTCCTACCTGAATGCCCTTAATATCTTTTTCCTGCCTAATCGCTATTGCAAGTACTTCCAGTACTATATTGAACAGCAGTGGAGAGAGTGGGCATCTCTGTCTCGTCCCTGATCTTAGAGGGAAGGCTCTCAGTTTTTCCCCATTGAGGATGATGCTTGCTGTAGGCTTGTGGTAGATGGCTTTAATTATGTTGAGGAAGGTCCCCTCTATACCCATTTTGGCTAGGGTTTTCATCATAAAGGGGTGCTGAATCTTATCAAATGCTTTCTCTGCATCTATTGATATGATCATATGCTTTTTCTCTTTTCTTTTGTTGATATTCGATATGCCAAACACAGTAACAACAAAGTCTCCAATGGAGACGTTACTGGGCCCGCTCGAGCAAATCGACGATCAACGGGAGGGCCTTTTGTTGATATGGTGGATTATGTTGATTGATTTCCGAATGTTAAACCATCCTTGCATCCCTGGGATGAATCCTACTTGGTCATGGTGTATGATCTTTTTGATGAGTAGTTGGATTCTATTTGCCAGTAGTTTGTTGAGGATCTTTGCATCTGTGTTCATCAGGGATATCGGCCTGTAATTCTCTTTCTTTGTGGTATCTCTGTCTGCTTTTGGTATCAGTGTGATATTTGCTTCGTAGAAACTGTTCATGTACAAAAGTAAGATCAAAATGGATTAAAGACCTCAACATCAGACCAGAAACCATAAGATACATTGAAGATAAAGTTGGCAAAACCCTCCATGACATTGAAGCTAATGGTATCTTCAAAGATGCCATGCCACTGGCCGAGCAAGTGAAAACAGAGATAGATAAATGGGACTATCTTAAACTAAGAAGCTTCTGCACCTCCAAAGAAACAGTGACCAAAATACAAAGACAGTCTACAGAATGGGAAAGGATATTAACCAAATACACATCTGACAAGGGGTTGATATCCAGGATATACAAAATACTGGTTAAACTCCACAAGAAGAAAACATCCAACCCCATCCAAAAATGGGGCAATGAAATGAACAGAAACTTTCTCAAAGAAGAAATCCGAATGGCAAAAAAGCACATGAGAAAATGCCCTACATCATTAATCATCAGGGAGATGCAGATCAAAACCACAATGAGATACCATCTCACACCTCAAAGACTGGCCCACATCCAAAAGAACAAAAACAACCGATGCTGGCGTGGATGTGGCGAGAAAGGGACACTCCTTCACTGTTGGTGGGAATGTCGACTGGTTCAGCCCTTCTGGAAAACAGTATGGACGATTCTCAAAAAATTAGAAATTGAGCTCCCATTTGACCCAGCAATGCCACTCCTGGGAATATATCTCAGAGAGGCAAAAATGTATAGTCGAAGTGACATCTGCACTTGTTTGTTCATTGCAGCACTCTTTACAATAGCCAGAAACTGGAAGAAACCTGAATGCCCAAGAACATATGACTGGTTAAAGAAACTTTGGTACATCTACACAATGGAGTACTATGTAGCTGTTAGAAAAGATGAAGTCATGAAATTTACACACAAGTGGTACAATATGGAAAGTATCATGCTAAGTGAAATGAGTCAGAAAGAGAGGGATAGACATAGAAAGATTGCATTCATCTGGGGGATATAAACTAACAAAGTATGAGATTAATACCCAAGAATAGCTGAGATCAGCACAGGAGGATTACTCCATAACTTAGAGGCCAGCCGGGTATCCTAGAGGAAAGGGCAGTTCAGATAGAGAAGGGAGCACCAAATAAAGGATGTTTGGAGGATCCTCCCAGGAGGGGAGATGCATGTCGAAAGTAGACTATGGACTGAACATGTTTGCCACTCAATGCCTCTTTTGCAGACCACAATACCCAAAAGGAGAGAGAGAACACAGGGGATTGCCCTGCCACAGAGACAGGGGGGATGGGGGGATGGGGGTGGGAGGGATATTATCCATGGTGGTGGAAAATGGGCACTGGTGGAGGGATGGGTATCTGATCATTGTATAATTGAAACCAAAGCACAAAAAATTGTAAATCTACAACTGTAAAAAAAAAAATAAAATAAAATAAAGGGAAAAAAAAGAAAAAAAAATCCACAGCGTTATCTGAGCTGGTAAGTTTGGCAGTTTCAGAAGTGATGACATACGCCCTGACAGATGGTCTCTGTAGGCGTTTTTCATTCTCTGTGTTTCGTTTTGACTGGGGAGAAAGTTTCCTGTCGGCCCCGCTATCTCAACGCAGCAAAAAGTCATTGCTCGCGTCTTTTACCTTAGGTGAATGCGTGGTTCGGTAGTGTGTGTCCCCAGTTGTCAAGACTATTTTGAACACAAAATGAAGAACTCAAAGAATAATAATTGGTGCCAGTGTTGCATAGTTCCCATAGGGCCCTGCAACCTTAGAGTGCACGCACCTGAGCTTCAATTCTAATAGAAGAACTGCAATCCATGATTTCCAAGAACTCCACTAGTGAGTTCTACCAACACTTCAAAGAAGGCTTAGTCCATACTCCTCAAACTTTTCCAGCACAATTGCCCTCAGAAACAGAGCTGATGGTCACTTTTGTATGTCATGAGCCAACCCCTGCCTTCCCTGGAGAGGCCTATAAGAAACCCACCCTCTTGAAAGTAGGTAAGGGATATTCTTAATGGCCTTTCGGTATCAATATTGCAAACCAAAATGCCCAGAGAGAAAGAAAGAGAAGAAAAGCGCCTCCATAGAGGCAGATTGGGGGTGGGGGAGTGATGGGAAGGAACCTGGGGACACTGATCCTGAGAAATGTGCATTGGTGGAGGGATGGGTGTTGGAACACTGTATGACTGAAATCCAATCATGAACAGCTTTGTAATGGTCTATCTCACAGTGATTCCATAAAAAAAAAGTTAAAAAAAAAGAATCCACCATTACCAACCCGTTTTGGACAGTCTACTTCCTCCACCTAGCCTGAGATTCTGCATGTTGACTGTCCTCGAATAACTATTCTAAACTTAATTGCAGTCCTCTTTCTCAGTTGTCAGATATAGATCACAAGCCCTTAAGAGCTCCTCACACCAGTTACAATATGACCTTATCTATTGATACATAGCTGGCTTTTAACAAGATTCAACATCTATCCATGATTTAAAAAAAAAAAACTCAAAAAATAGAACTGGAAGAACACACCTCAATATGGTAACTACCATCTACAAGACATCAACAGCCAACATCATATGTAATGGTTGAAAACAGAAAGCTTCTCCCCTGAGATCATGCACAAAGTAAGAATATTCACTCTCACCACTCTGATTCAATATAGTTTTGGAAGACCTTGCCACAACAATCAGACAAGAAAAGGGAATTCAAAAGATCAAAATTAGAAATAAGAAATTAAATGATCATTATTTGCAAATGTCATGATAATATACCAAAAAAAAAAACTAGAGACTACTAAAAGACTCTTAGAAGCGCCAGAGCAATAGTTCAGTTGGGTAGGGATTGGTTGCCTTGCACACAGCCAACCCAGTTTTAATCCCTAGCCGCACATATGATCCCCTGAGACCAACTAGAAGTGATGCATGAGCATGGAGCTAGGAATAGGTACTAAGCACCACCAGGCATGGCCCTAAAATCTAAATATAAAAATAAAAAACAAAAACTCTTAGAAACAATAAATACAGAAAGGTATCAGTCTACAAAACTGAAGTTCCCTGTACTTCTAGA